ACGACGAGTGCCTGTCAGAACCTGGTAGGTGCAGGGAGTGTAAGCAGCACCGCGCTGGGTCTGACGCAGCCCCGACCCTGGAGCCAGCTGCTGCCGCTGCTGCTGCTGAGGCTGCTGGGAGGAGAGGGGCTGCTGGTGCTGCAGAAGCTGCTGCTGACGCTGAGCCTGGTACCACGCCGCTGCTCCACCAACCGGGGCAGGAAGTACAGGAGGCGACTGACGAACTCGGGCGTCGCCACCACTAGCAGGCGCAGTGGAGTCACCAGTCACTGCACGAGGCGCCTCTCCAGGCCCTGAACCTCCACCGCCGCCAGGCGCAACGCCACCTCCACTACCTCCGCCTCCACCTCCACTACCACCACCAGAACCGCCTTTCTTGCCACTCCTACCGCGGGACCGCGACGCAGTCGTAACAGCAGCTGCAGTCGCGTCAGTAGCGGCAGTGGCAAGTGAGGCAGTAAAGGTGGGTAACTGCGGGACTGTGCACCCGTGGAAGAGTGGGGGGGGCACAGCACCAGAGGCAGCGGCTACCGAGCGAAGGTTGCTCTCGACGTCCTTGAGTGCAGACTCAAGGACATCGACGGTGAGCTCACTAGGGTGCTTCAGCAGAAGCGCGTCGCGAACGGAGGCAAGGCGGTCAGGGAGGCTAGTGGCGATGAAATAGATAGTAATCGCCATAGGGGGAGGAAGCAGTGCAAGCTGTGCCTCAGTGCAAGCAGCGCGGTAACTAGCGTCGAGCGAGCGGAGGTGAGCGATCAAGTCAGCAGAGCGCTCAAACGAGGCGAGATCAGGAAACAGGAACGGGAGGAAAAGACGGCCAAGAGAGACAGTAGCGGGAGTAGAGTAGCGGGCCTTAATCGCAGTGAGGTACGCAGCAGCGGTGCGAACCTGAGTGAAGTGGACCTCCTCTGACTCAGGGAGGAGGCTGCTGAGTGCGATGCAGGCCGCAGCGTCACGCGACGTCCAAGCCGTCCTGTCAGCGCGCTGACGGGCAAAGCGAGCCGTAGCAGCATCGTCAGGGGCAGGACCTAAAGCGGCAGGCTCGGGGGGCTCGGGGAGGTCACCAGTAGCGTGCGACCAGAGGGTCTCGCCCCCCTGGACTTGACTCTCTAACAGACGGCGAGCGCGAAGAAGCCAGACGGAAAAGTCAAGAGGTCTACCGTCAGCGTCGAAACGAAGAACTCGCGGAGTCGCCATAGCGAGAACTAACGCGAACGAGCAGGCGAGTAACAGCAGGAGGTAAGAGGCAAATTAGGGTTCAGGTGGGGGGACTTAGTCGCAGCGGAAGAACGGGCTAGGACGTAGGGTCGACAGGACGGGGGAAAGGGCGGGCGCGATGCGACGGGGCAGGGCGACGCGACGGGGCAGGGCGACGCGACGGAGCAGAGGCGACGGGACGGGGAAGGGCGACGCGACGGGGCAGGGCGACGCGACGGGGCAGGGCGACGGGACGGGGAAGGGCGACGGGACGGGGCAGGGCGACGGGACGGGGCAGGGCGACGCGACGGGGCAGGGCGACGGGACGGGGAAGGGCGACGGGACGGGGCAGGGCGACGGGACGGGGCAGGGCGACGCGACGGGGCAGGGCGACGGGACGGGGAAGGGCGACGGGACGGGGCAGGGCGACGGGACGGGGGAGGGCGACGGGACGGGGCAGGGCGACGGGACGGGGGGAAAGGGCGCGACGCGACGGGGGGAAAGGGCGCGACGCGACGGGGGGAAAGGGCGCGACGCGACGGGGGGAAAGGGACGCGACGAGGGGGAAAGGGCGCGACGCGACGGGGGGAAAAGGGCGCGACTCGACTGGGGGGAAAGGGCGCGACGCGACGGGGGGAAAGGGACGCGACGAGGGGGAAAGGGCGGGCAGGACGCGACGCTAGGAGTGGCGCTAGGCGCGGCACTACGCGCGGTAACAACGGAACCGGAACGAATGAGAGCTAGGATCAGGCTCGGGAGGCTCGAACGGAGAACGGAGGAACGGGATCCCACAGGATCCTAACCTAACTGATACCATGTCAGAATGAAGAATGGATGGTGCATTGATGTTGGTTGGGGTACATATAGCTAACCCTAAGTTTTGTACCCCTTAAGACAAACCTCACTATAGGCTACAACATTTGACATTGCGAAGTAACCTATTACAATCGTTATGTACAATTTTTTTTCATCCTCTTTACTTCAAAAAATAAAGGATGAAAAAAATCTAGTGAACGGTAGCTAAGTGACTGACTGATGTATTTGCCACGTCAATTTACCACGTGCCCAACCACATTACTTCTCATTTCCTAGTTTGGTTTGACTGAACCTATTTTCATGAGTTGCCAAAATGATGTACTGTGAATGCGTAACTGTTTATTCCGTGATGCATATGCGGGATGTTGTTATGCGTAAATGCAAAATGCATAATTACAATGCATATGCTACTGTGGTAGTGAAATGAATGCATAGCATGATGAAAATGCGTAACAGTTAATTGACCCAGACCCTATGCTACCGCATCCTCTGCCTAGCATGGGGAGGAGCTCAATAGCATAGTTTCTTAATCATCCAACTGTCACAAGAAACAACACAATCTGTGTGATCTAAAAAAAAGGTCAATTCTATCAAATCCAGTTCAAATGAACACACTTACTGAGCGCGCAAAGAACCTTCTCGGAAATGATAGTTTGATCCCAATTTTTAAAACCCACAGACATGTGTTATTAATGCAATGGAAACATGAATGAAAGCGCACATAACACAACGCATACACATGATCATACACATTCACACATACGCGCATGCACGAAGCCGAACAAAGCATATTAACCGAAGATGAAATAAAAACCTAAATTACCAAGACATCATGTATCCTACACCATAAGTCACAAGCAATATCAGTCTACTTCTCATATTGAGCTCGACTGCCTGGAGGGTAAGACAAAACAGGGTTAAGGAAGGGAAAGCAAATGGGAAATAACAAGGCATAATGGGAGAAAAGGGGAGGACATACATGCATTATGTTATTATTGCCTTACAGTTGGTACAACACCAATCAATACAGGAATGCATCAAACTCAAAACTAACCAATAACATATGAAATTGTTGAGCCTCGTGTTAAAAAGCAACAAGAACAGATAGGAAAACAGAAAATCAATCAACGAAACAGAAAGAACGGATAGATGATGGTACAATCATAAGAACCAGAATTGAACAGATAGGAAAACAGAAAATCAATAAACGAAACAAAAAGAACGGATAGATGACTGTACAAGCATAAGAACCAGAATGGTGTGATGAAAAACGAAAATTACCAAACGAAACAGAATGAACGGAGAGAAGACGGTACAAGCATAAGAAATAGAATGAACAACGTACTATGATTATACAAGATTAAGGAAGCGGAAAGAGACAAACACAGCACACGTGAATAAATAAGAATAAGATGTGACGAAAAACAGAAAATCAATCAATGAAACAAATTGAATGGAGAGAAGAAGGTACAACCATAAGAAACAGAATGACCAACGTACTAATAATCTCCAAAAGTAGGAGCACGTAACAAGTGATTAGATAATAAAGTATGTGAATAAAATGTGATGGAAAACAGAAAATCGTAAAAAGAAACAGAATGAACGGAAAGAAGACGGTACAAGCATAAGAAACAGAATGAACAACTACTAGTAAAATACAAAATTAGAGAAGCTTAGCAGAAACAACGATGATCTAAAACGAGTACAGAGACGACGATGAAAGGAAAGAGAATAATACGACAAGCACTAGAGGAGAAAGGAATAAGCTAAGCAATAGAAGAAATGAAGTATCAAGGATGCTGGACCATGAATGACCTAAAAAACAGAAGGGAAAGCTGCCGTCTTACAAATGACAAGTTTTGAAGTTTAAACAACCTGCATACCTCTAGAACGGCCAACAAACTAGAAGTAGACGACTAGGATACGATATTACGAAACCGTAGTCTAGCATAATCTAAGCTGGCTCTAGAGAATGGCATTGAATCCTCTCACCTTAGAGTGGTAGGTAAGAGTATGGCTTGCAGGTGGGCACCAAACCAGCTCCACCAGCGAGAAAAACGAGGGAGGGGAAAGAGAAACGCAAACCCTAGGATGGTTTCAATTTCGTCGCAAAGATAAGTCATTGATTGTTTAGGACGAGCTTTTGCCTCGGTTGATTTGGCCCAGTCGGTAGAAAGTGAAAATTGCAATAAGAAGGTTGCGGGTTCGAATCTTGCGATTGCTTCAAAGAGTGCTCAAGGCTACATTCACATTCGCTTTTGCATCTACAGTTTGTAGTTGAAATACATACCATACAACTTTTTGTAAATTGCTTCGCAACCCTTAGGACGACATTGTCGCCTCTTGTTTTTTTTTTTTGATAGAAGTTCCTTTCTGCAAAGCAGGCACTCTCAAACGGATGGAGGGTCTTGTTCATGGCACCCTCTGGTCCTCAGTCGAAGGACATTCAATGCGATGCAGCAGAATGCGTCACCATTTAAAAAGTTTGACTGTAGCGGAGCCAGAAAAATGCCAACGAAAACGACGAAAACCAATGGTGGGGTTCCTTGCATCAAATTGTCAATGGCACGAAAGCAGCCAATCGTCCCCACACACTCCGTACAGCTAATGCTCGTTAGAGCCCCTCCCGGTTGCCTTGGTAAGCTAAAACGTCATTTCGTCTGTTCGTCGAGGGTTTCGTCAGGCTTTACGCGTTATGTAATAGTGTCGGGTGGCACCTATTGTCACATGTGCGCGTTACCGAAATCCTTACGAAAGCAGAACAAACGCGTAAAGCAACATCAACATTTGTTCAACTTAGATTGAAACAGCTGACACACAAAGCCGGGCCAATCACAATCTACCACATGGCCATTCACCCCCGAGCTCCACAACATCCCCTCTACTGCAAATGTGCCCGTTATGTGCACAATCCCAACACTTATCAAATCCTCAAAAACTCCCCGATCCCAACCTTCAACTCCTGCTCGTGAGTCCAACATTCCAACTCACACCTGCATCCATTCTGCCGCCTCCACGTACCCGCCCATCGCGGCGCCAACCCCGCCGTCCAGAAGCTGCTGACGGCGGGACGGCTGGGTCATCCAGCCAGGCAGCACTCGGCCCCGCGGACGCGGGGTGTCAGGCGGCGGAGTTGCGAAAGGCGAAAGCCCGGGCGGCGGGGCCGTGTTGAGATTGAGCGCGGGGCTTGCCCGCTCCATGCGCTCACGAATGATTAAATTACGAATGTCGAAGAGGTGGCAAAGGTCGCGCGGCGTCACGCTCACGGCGCGAGCGTAGCCGATGAGCATCTCGCTGGCCGCCCGTGCTGTGCGCCGCGCTTCACGGCCCACGGGGTCGGAGTCGTCATAGACCGTCTGCATCGTGGTCGGCGCCCTCCATAGCTCCGCCACCAGGCCCACGTCCGCATCATCACGAGTCGGCTCCGCACCCGGCTCCGCGCACGTCGGCTCGCCCTCGTCAATGGCGACGTACTCGGCGGCGGTCATCGCGCCGGTGCCGAGGCCGAGACCGCCAATGAGCTCGGCGACGTCGTCGATGTCGTCGTCGAGCTCAATGTCGGGGTAAGCGTGAGGGGTCGGCTCATCATCATGCACGTGAGTGAGGTCCATGGACCACGACAGAGGCAGGCACCCCGTGCGCCACCAGCACCTCTGGATGGTGCGCGCACCAACACTCATCCAGGCGTCGGAGAGCCACCCCAGCACGTCGCGCAGATTGGGGCGATAGCGGGCGACGGCGCTTGTGGCGCCGTCGTCGTTCCACAGTGCCGTGAAGGCCCGCAGCCAGTGCTGGCGGTAGCGGGCCTTCGCGGTCGCGATTATGCCCTGGTCGAGGGGCTGCGTGAACGCGGTAGTGTTCGGCGGCAGGAAGATGAGGCGCACATTGCTGAGGCAGGTGGTCCTCATGCCGCACACGATTTCGCTCCACGCGCACTCGTCCCGCAGCATATGGGAGCTCGCGTTGTCGAGCAGCACCGCGATGTGCCGCCCTTCGGCATACATCGCGGCATTGAGCTGCGACATAAAATGCGTGAACAACTGTTGGAGGGGATTGGGAGGGAGGGGGGGGAATATACATTAAGATAACACAATGTTATAAGAACACAACCATAAACAAAATCACCCGGTCGGCAAAGACTTACCTGGCTGGTCATCCAGCCCTTTGCGTTATGCCGCCAGTAGCAGACGGCTTCGGGGTCGTAGTCCGGGCGGAAATCGTGAGGACGGCGCGCCTTGCTGATGACGAGCGGCCGGAAAACATGGCTCCCGTCGGCGTTAACGAGAAACGCCACGGTCAGCCGGTCCTTTGAGACCTTGCGACCGGGCATGCGCGCGTTGCTGTATGTTTTCCGAGGCAGCACGGTGTCAGAATGTTATTATCTAGCCTGTAGTGGGGTGCTCTATAGCGGGTACAACCCAGTTAGGGTTTGCTATATGTATCCCAACTGCAGCTAGTGAAACCCCTCCTTTCTTCATTCTTACTTTCTACTGCTAGTTCTGACATGCTATCAGAGCAGGTCGACCCCCTTGGGTCGATCCTGTGGGTGGGCCCGCCACCTAACTGCTTCCGCTGCTGTTCTGCTTCTCGCGCGCCTCGGGCGCGCGCCGTCTTCTTCCTGCCGTGCGCTCGGGGCGCGCGGCGAGTTTCTGCCCGCCGTGCGCCCCGAGGCGCGCGGCGGTTTTCTGCCCGCCGTGGAGGACCCGCGCGCGACACCCCGCCCTTCCCGTCGCGGCGCCCTGGGGGATCCGCGCGCGCCCCCCCCCCCCCCCCCCCCCCCCCCCCCCCCCCCCCCCCCCTCCCGCCATCCCGTCGCCCGTCGTGGCGCCCTCTCCCGTCGCCCGTCGTGGCGTCGCGGGGGCCGCGCGTCCCCCCCATCCCGTCGCCCGTCGAGGCGCCCCGGGGGCCGCGTGTCCCCCCCCGTTCGCGTCGTCACGTCGCGACGCCCTGGGGAGCCGCGCGCGGCCCCCGATTTCCCGTCGCGCCGCCCTGGGGAGCCGCGCGCGGCCCCTCGCTGCCCCGTGGTGGCGCCCTGGGGGCCGCGCGCCGTCCCCCTCGCCGTCCCCCGCGCTCCTACCCCGTGCCACCCGTTTTAGGGTTTGGGGGTGGGGAGTGTGGGGGTGGCGGTTGTGGGGGTGCCGGTTGTGTGCCCCGTCCCCTACTCCTCCTCCTCCTCCGTCTCCCGCTGCTGCAGCTGCTGCTCAGGGGGGTGGGTGTGTGGGGAGCCGAAGGAGTGGTGCTAGGGGGGTGACGTGGGAGTGGAGTTAGGGGTTCAGCAGGGGGTGTGTGTCAAGGGTGTGGGTCAGTTGGAGGAGGTTGTGTGGAGGTAGCTGTCGTGTCGCCTGCAGCGCCTGTAGTCCGTCGCCCTTGCTTCGGTAGCCAGTGAGCCTGTTGCACCAGTCGCCAGTGGGTCCGTTGCTCCTGCCGCTCGTCTTAGCCGCGGAGCCAGTCACTCCAGTAGTCCGTCGCCCTTGCTTCGGTAGCCACTGAGTCAGCCACTCCTGCGCCCGTGCCTCTGCAGCTTCAGTCGTTGCCTCCCATCTTCTCTCCTTCCACAGTTCCTCCTCCTCCTCACTTGCCCGCTGTGATTACCTCTAGCTTTGCTTATTATTGTGAACTCCTGCTATGCTTGCTCATTGTGCTGATTACACCCCACTTTGGCTATGGGGGTGTGTCAGAATGTTATTATCTAGCCTGTAGTGGGGTGCTCTATAGCGGGTACAACCCAGTTAGGGTTTGCTATATGTATCCCAACTGCAGCTAGTGAAACCCCTCCTTTCTTCATTCTTACTTTCTACTGCTAGTTCTGACACACGGAGAGCCACAGGGCGGTCTCGTCAAAATTGAAGGTGTCGCGCGGCTTGTAGCCGAGGTGAGTAAGAAGCTGCGGCACCTTCTCACGCGCTTCACGCACAGCAGCCATGTCGGCGCTCGCCGCCTCGCCGGTGGCGGCACGGCATCGCACTCCCTGGCGCCGCAACGCACGGCGCACCCAGCCAATGGAGCAACGGAACACGGGCGGAATGCCCATGTTGCGCGCCATGGTCGCCACGTGGTCGCGGATCGTCTGCAGAGTGAGTGGTACGCCCGCGGGGCCAGCGTTGGCGATCCAGCGCGCCATGGCCTGCTCAAGCTCAGGCCATGCGCCACCGCGACTACGCACTTGATTAGCGGCAGTGGGTTCGGTGAGCGCCCAACGGTCGGCATTCTTCAAGATGCGGCCGACCGTCGAGCGGTCAGGTCGCAGGCCATACTGGGCGTAAACCCAGCGGGCGAGATCTACGTGACGCAGGAGGGGGTGCTCGACGTGATGCGCGCATAATGCGCGCTTGATGTGCAGCGGAAGCTGCTCACGGCGATTAAACCGCGGCATGGTGGGAGGCGGTGACGGGAAAAGAGCGATGCTTTGGTGACTCTGTGCATCGAATTTTAACTTTGGTTGGAGGACGAGGCTGATCGGTGCGGGGGCCTGTTTGGTGTGGAGGGTTTGTTTCGTGTGGTGGCTGTTCGTTGCATGCACCCTGCTTACAATTTCGAACATGTGGTTGGGTTACCACCTCGGTGAAAATCTGACGTGGGGTAGGCGAACAACGCCTAGTTGTTGATGGGCTTGTACCCCACAAGTGCGAAATACACGTGGCAGCGTGCACCAGCCCAGATGTCTGTTACACGCACCATGATCCTCGCCTAGGTGGCGGGGCAGGTGTGCGAATGCATTTACGAAACCACGTTCATTTCGTCCACTCGTTTCGTCAGGTTGACTCCTGGCCTAGAAACAAGGGAGACATGGGTCGGCACTGCTTGTAGTGGTCTGCAAGTGGGGGGGTGGCCGGGCCGCGTGCACTGTAGTTAGCCATCCAGGTGCCTGTACATGGGGTGCATCAAGCAGGGGTTTCGACCTCGGGGGCAGCGTGTCCATCCGGTGCATGGCAAATTCGCGTGCACTGGTCGGGCATCATGTGTACCAACAGAAAGCTTTGGCTGAACGAGCATCGCCATCTGGAACAGAATTTATCAAAGATTCATCGGCCGAGTTTATCATTGGTTTTGCCGCTGCGCCTGACGCCGCGCAGCGACTTACAAGACCATTCATTGCTGCGCTGGACAATTTGGGGCGGTTGCCAGCTGGGGAAGCAGAGCGAGCACAAACCAGCAGCACCTCTCCGACAAGGCAGCAGTGGTTGAATGCAGCTTCTGCCAGGTGGATTCCCGTTCCCGATCTCAAAACATGTGATTGGCATCTGAAATAGGGAAATTATATGGGAGGTCACAATAATGCCCGTTTTTTCACGTTTGGGTACAGGGGTATCACGAACAGTCACAGTACAGTAGATTGCAATCGCGGGTGATCACAGTGCTATCACGGATGGTCACACCTCGCCCCGAAAAGCTATCACGTTTGGTCACTCGATGAAAAGATCATAATTAATTTGAAACCACGAATGTAACAGTAGAAATTTTGGGGAATCTCATGTCAGAATGCTATTATTGTCTAGCCTGCAGTGGGGTACTCTATAGCGAGTACAGCCCAATCTAGGGTTTGCTATTTGTACTCAACTGCCTGCTAGTTCAAACCCCTCTCTCCTTTCATTCATTCTTGCCTAGTTATTCTGAAATGGTATCAGAGCAGGTCGACCCTCCTGGGTCGATCCTGTGGGTGGGCCCACCACCTAAGCCTTCCGCTGCTACTGCTACTGCTACTGCTACTCCCTGTCCGCCGCGCGCCCCGTGGCGCGCGGCGTCGAAACTAGGGTTTTCAGCCCGCCGTGCGCCCCGAGGCACGCGGCGGTTTTCTGCCCGCCGTGCGCCCCGAGGCGCGCGGCGGTTCTCTGCCCGCCGTGTGCCCCGAGGCGCGCGGCGGGTTCCTGCCCCGTCACTCGGCACGTCGCCCCCGGGAGGCGCTGCGACGGGCGACGGGGACCCGCGCGTCGCCCCCCGTCGCCCGTCGTGGCCTGCGCGCGGCCCGTACACCCGGCACGCGGCCCGTACGGGCTGCGCCAGGCCCGCGCGCGGCCCGTACGGGCTGCGCCAGGCACGCGCGCGGCCCGTACGGGAAGCGCCAGGCCCGCGCGCGGCTCGGGCCGCCTGCGCGCGGTTCGGGCGGCTCTACCAGGCCCGTGGGCGGCCCGTTCCTCGCTGCTCCTGCCCTCTCCACTGTCCCCCGTGCTTCTACCGGCGCCTCACCCCTCCTACAGCCCGTTCTCCTAAATTAGGGTTTGGGGGTGAAGAGTGTGGGGGTGGCGGCTATGGGGGTGTCGGTTGTGAGTTCCTCCCCCTGCTCCTCCTCCTCCCTCGTCTCCCTCTGCTACAGCTGCCGCTGAGGGGGGTGGTGTGTGGGAGCCTAGGGTTTGGGGTTTAAGGGGGGTACCGTCGGAGTGGAGCTAGGGTGTCAGCAGGGGGTGTGTGAGAGGGGCGTGGGACGGTCGGGGGAGATTGCGTGGAGGTAGCCGTCGTGACGCCAGCAGCGCCAGTAGTCCGGATGCCCTCGCGCGTTTCGGTAGCCCAGCGAGCCTGCTTCGCCAGTCGCCTGTGGGTCCGTTGCTCCTGTGTGTGCTCGTCGTAGCCGCGGAGCCAGATACTCCCGTAGTCCGGTGCCCTCGTGCGCTCGGTAGCCACTGTGCGCGCCGCTCCTGTTGCCCGTGTGTCTGCAGCTTCAGTCGGCGCCTTTCATCTTCTCTCCTCTCGCCAGCCCTCCTCCTCCTCGCTTGCCCTCTGTTACTGCCTCTAGCTTTGCTCATAACTGTGAACTTTAAACTATTGCTTCTTGAACTTGTGCTCAGAATGTGTGGTGACATTGTGATCCACCCTGAGCTTGTACTGCTTTGCTTGCTCTGCTGATTACACCCCACTTTGGCTATGGGGGTGTGTCAGAATGCTATTATTGTCTAGCCTGCAGTGGGGTACTCTATAGCGAGTACAGCCCAATCTAGGGTTTGCTATTTGTACTCAACTGCCTGCTAGTTCAAACCCCTCTCTCCTTTCATTCATTCTTGCCTAGTTATTCTGAAATCTCAACCTTGATTGCTTGTTACCACGCGCATTATTCTAGCCCTGACAATTAGGGAACCGAAGAGAAAAATATAAACCCTTATTGGATGGCACGTCCTTCGAGAGGCATCAACCCTAAACACTATGCGACAAGGTGTTTAGGGTTGATGCTCCTGAATTAAATCCCATCCGAATGGGTTTTAGTTTTTTGTATTGGAAACAAAAATAAACTTTAGAGTTTCACCCGTCTAAAAGTGATATTCTTAGGGACATTATGCATCGATCGAACAGTGGACAATCGAACAGTAAGAAAAAAATGCGATATTTTTATCGAGTTACCGAGAGTTGTCGCGAAACAATTTCGTCATACTACGGACAAAACGGCACGCGCGATAAAATTTACCCTGAATCCCTACAGTGACTCGAATAGTTACATTTTCGATTGGGCGTTTCATCTGCGACCAAACGTGATAGACTTGCGGGGCAAGGTGTGACTACCCGTGATAGCACTGTGAGATCACACGCGTTAGAAACTACTGTACTGTGACTGTTCGTGATACCCCCGTGACCAAACGTGATAGACCGGGCCTAATTGTGACTACCCGTATAATTTCCCTCTGAAATATGCCCGCAAAATGACGGCATTTGTGTAACCACGGCGAGCGACATGAATCGGTTGCAAGGATGGACTTGTGATTCAACGCTCGGGCAAGTCGAATTATTGGAGACCATCCGATCTAAAGAGTTGGGCAGCCATGTTTGATTCAAAAATGTTCGTACACCTAGCTTCCGCTATTTTCAACTTCTGACCTTGGCACTGTTCCCGATTTTCATGTAATCCCTGCCCAGCTTTTGGGGTTTTCTGTTAGAAACCTCGTTATAGGGGACTATGAATGACATCAAATGGAGATTTCAATCGGGCGAGTGTAAGACAATTTCGGCTCGTGTGGAGTCTGCTTGTTGTTGCGCATCCCATTGCGTAGCTTTCAGGAGTCAGGAACTAACTCTGCGTAGAGCGTATGACGTCCGACACAACCCTCGGTCAAAAACGTTTTGAAGGGTGCCTACCCCTTTGCACACGTGGGGGTTGAAGATAGACCGAAAGAAAATAGCGGTGGTTAGGTGTAACACTGCATTGAGCGAGAGGAATTGTCGCCATAAAATTGACAACTTCTGTGCAGCATAAACAGAGGCGCCTCACGCCACCACCTTCAACAACTCCCACAGGTGCTCATTGGCACTATCTTGTCACGTGAAAGTGGTGTAGAAACAATTTTCTGTTTCCACGAAATATTTTCGCATGCACGAGAGTGCGTGTATATCGTGGTTGTAACTCAAAAGGGCCACCCTATGGTGTACGCCATAAATCCGTGCGTCCATTCCAGTCAGTTTCGGTCAAGGGAAACAAGGATGTACAGTACAAACCCAAGACCACACCTTCAATGGCGGTGTCGTGCTGATGATGATGGCGGTGGCGGTGGTGGTGATGGCTCCAATTTCAAAGACAAACGCCATGGTCACATCGCACATCATCCCACATCACATCAGCATTCACACGGGTGACTAGCGGCTCAACGCGGTGCACCAAGAAAACCGTTATAGATTGCACAAGAACGTAGTCAACCGTTTCTAGTGATCTGTCAAGGAACAACGCGTGACCCGTCCTCCTCACATCGCACTTTCTTCAAACACGTTTCCCTCACAGCTCCGAGCCCACGTGGTCCATGGATGAATGTGTCCAAGAAGGCCGACTACACGTATGTGTGTACATGCATTGTGTATTGTATCTTGGTCGATCAGCTTTCCATTGTGGGTGTCTTTCTGTTTAGGGACTTGCTGGATTCAGGAATCGTCACAATCCAGTATCAAGATCTGGTTCCCTTTCTCCCAGGCAATTTTATGACTAGCAGATCTCACCAGGGGTTTTAGGACCAGCAGATCCTGTGGCAACTGATAGCCATGGCTGTCGCTGATATCACCAATATCGCTGCTGATTCTTCCTCAGAACCTCCCACTCTCGTGATTCTCTATGGTCCTTATTTCTGCTCCGTCGCAAGCCTTTCGTTCAAGGCAATTATGGTTAAGGTGAAGTTACTGAGCCAGCTGCAGCAGAAGCTGACCGCGTTAGGGTTCCGCGTGGAACTACAAAAATGTTCAGCGACGGGGCTGCTTCAAGTGACGGACGGCCACGATTTCCTCGTGCATCTCCGCAACGGCCACGATGCGAAGTTGCTGCACAAGGAGATCCGGCAAAATCGGTTCTACGCCGCGGCAAACGCGACACGGTCGTCAGACGCTTCCGAACCGCGAGGAGACACTTACATTGCGAATGGACGTCCAGAAGAAGACGGACTCCCTGAAAGCCCCGAAGCGCGTTCTCCTTCTGCCAGAAGCATCAGCGGCTTTACCGGCGAGAGTGGAGGAAACGGAAGCGCGTATGCGTGGGGACTAGACAGCCGCGATGCGCGTCGACTGACGGTGACTCACTTGGTCCTGTGCTTTTACGAGAAGTGCTACTGCAGCGATCTGACAACGTCGCACGGATCGAAAGCCCTTTCGCGATGCGGATCGGTGGTCTCCGTTCACTGAAAGACGGTGTCCGTGCATTCCGATTCTTGACAGACGCTGTCCGTTCTCTGACCAACAGGTGTCCGTTCTCCAACAGACGGTGGTCCTTGACTGACAAACGGTGGCCGTTCACCACCATACGTTGACTACTCACCGTCAGACGGTGTAAGATCACCAACAAAGTTGTAGTTTTCCCGACAAGAGGTGTTTCATTCCGGGACAGACGGCGTCGCGGACGGTCCCAGTTCATCGACAGACGTGTCCGTTCGCTGCGTGACTTCTTTCGTCTCCGAAAAGTGAAAGAGAGCCGACGTAGGTACACGGCGCGAATCGCGGCATAAACGGCACCAGCAACGGCGCCAGCAACGGCGACAGCAGTTACAGCAGCTACGGTCGCAGGAATGGTTAACTGGGCACGTCGCCGTCCTGTGACGTTTTCCGGCTCTCGAGGCGCCAGTATTTCAGGAATTCCAGATACCTTACTAGAAACTTTGTACAGCACATACAGCAGGAGCCATGGTGAGCCGAGCTACCAGCACATCCCACTGATCCTAATCTCTTGTTTTGCTGCACTTGAATTGTGTAGTTTCTATACAAATAAATCATTGACCCCCTGCTGTCCTGTGCGTGTACAATTTGCGCGGATGAAGAGCTTTACGGTAAATCCAGCCTGTCAAATGAATATCATCGCCAAGCCACGTTTAGCATGTTAGCCCTGTTTTACCAGACCAGGTCGATCTCGTCAGAGATGGGCTGCTTGTGAATCTTGCTAGCTTTCACTTGTCCAATTCACGTAATTTTCATTACAAAATCTACCATGAGCAGAGCAGCTTGGAGCAGTGAATATCATTGCTCCTCCACAAGGTGCAGGCACGATCACCCTCATGTGGACCATGCTCTGATGGCAAACCAGGCCTCTCATCTCACAAACAACAGCAGCAGGCCAGGTGTAGAGACCCCAGACACCACGGCCTAACCCGTGGCTAAGTACATCATCTACATCACTTTGCAGTAATGGTTTATATGAGATGGCTAAGGAGGGTTTGCTACAGTTTCACATGAAGTCATAATCATCATCAGGACCAGCATACGATCCCTTATAGTCATCATCCTCCGGCCGATCCACTGTCAACTGCTGCTTCTTGGCTGCAGACAAGGACACAGTCATACACACAGTTACAGAAGCACACATGCACGCAGGCAACGGGGTGTACAACCATAGGTTAATGTCATGGCCAGGAAGAGGGACCAAGGGGGGGATCATGGATTATCATGGGCCACAGTTCAGAGTGAGGAGAAAATGGGCTGAAGGAGAACAAGAAGGGGTATTTCATGGTGCATGCCGGACCACAAAGCATCCATGAACATGCACATTCCACTACCATACAGACACCCACTATTTCACGCATAGATCCACGAATACACACCCGTTACCATGAATACCGCTGCTGTAGCAACACCTCCCCTTTATTTTTCCTGATCACAACACACAACATTCACCCCCACCCCACCCGTGCTCCCTCATTCGCCTCCCTTCGTCTTCATCACCCTTTCCTCCCCACTTGGCCTTCCTGTCTCTCCTTTCCCTCAACCCCCTTCTTTCCCTTCTCCCCATACCCCGCCCTCCCGTCTCCCCCATTCGCCTTTCACTCACCTCCAGTCTCTCCCTCACTCGGCTCCCTTCAACATTTTCTTGACCCTCCTGACCTGCACATCATCCCAAACTGTGCCCAACCCTTCTCTCCACTACCAACTTTTCTCTCCACCAACCCTTCTCTCCAGCACCACCTGTGCACACAATCGGTGTCATCTTCTCCTTCCTTCACCCACCTCCCTATTTCCCCTCACTCAACTCTCTCCTATCTCCCCCTTCACTCACCTCCCTTCTCTCCTTCATCCCCCTCCCTCCTCTCTATCACCACCCTCCCATCACTCCCCGTCACTCACCACCCTTCTTCTTCCCCTTCTCTGCCTCCTTCTCCGCCTTGAGCTTCTCATTCGCAATCACAGCTGCTGCAGCACTAATTTCCTTCGCGTCCTTGCCCACCAACGGAGCCTCCACCTTTCTCAGGATGTTCTTAATCAGCGTCACGTAGTGAAAGCTCTTCTGCACTCGACGAGTTGAGGGAGGAAAGACACAAAAGCAGTGCTCATATCATCCCCTTTGCACCCTTTGCCATCTGAGCGTGCTCTTGATCAGCCAGGGGGGAAGATTGTAAAGGGGGTTTGGGACGGGTAGGGGGAAAGATTGCGTTGCCCCGAAAATGATTTGGAGCAGTGGCACGTAGTGTGAGAACTCTGCTCAGGCTGACGAGAAATGGCGAGAAACGATGAGAAGCGATGCGAGGTGATGAGACGTGGTGAAAAGTGGTGCGAAACAGTGGGTGATGCCAGAGTTTCCACCATTTACCGAGTGGGGGGTAATTCTCGCAGCAATCAAATCTCCAAACTCGTTAAAGTCTGCCTCGCTTTTGGGTAGAAAGTCGTCCAGTGACCGCTCGCCCTCCTTTTTCTTCCCACCAAACAGCTCCTTTGTTGCTTTGAAATCGCTTTCCTCCACGAGCCTGTGTGATGGTAGGTGGGGGAACAGGGAGAAGGGAGGGGGGAAGGGGGGTGGGGATTGGAAACACACAGGGGCGGGGGGGGGGGGGGGGGGGGGGGGAGGGGGGGAGAGCGGGGGAAGGGTGGGGAAAGAGCGGACACGGTGGGGGACAGAGCGAAGTGGTGGTGGTGGTGGGGGGGGGGAGTTGGATGGAGAAGAAGGTTAATAAAAAGTTTGACGGAAAGCGGGAGTGGGGAACATGTGGGGGAGGAGGGTGAGAAGCTGGGTGGGGTAGGCCAAAGAAAAGGGGGAAGGGAAAACATGAAGAAACACAATCTCAGAAATGCTAAATCGTAGTGTACCTTCAACCCTCACCTGCTCCTCTTCAGAACCACCCCCTCCCTCCCCCCACCCTCCAACCCCTCCCCGACACCTTCCCCTCCACCCTCCCCCTACCCCCACCCTCACCCCCCTCCCCCCGCCCAACAGACACACACCCGCCCCCACTCTCCCTCCTCACCGTTGTTGTCTTAGCTTCTCTGCTACAGGGTCCGCAAGAGCCCCATCATCCACCTCCTCCTCCTCCTTCTCCTTGCCCTTCCCCTTGTCCTCCGCTTTCTTCTTCTTCTTCTCTCCCTTGGGCTTCGCCTGCACGCCACGAGACATCCAACACCAGCACACCAGCACAAGCATGACAGCACACCATCATCAACCCAACACCACCAGCACACCAGCAGTCCAAACCCAACACATCAGCAACCCAACACCAGCATACCAGCAATCAAGGCCAGCACCCGCCCGCACCATCATCAGCACCAAAACCATCACCACATCAGCACCAGCACCAGAACCAACACATAACCCGAGGCACACGGTGGAAGCTGCTACTGAAACGGCAAAACAGTAGAGGCCAATCTGCTGCTTATTAACAAAAATTTCTCAGCAACTCCTCAAAAAGAAGGGGGGAGGGGGAGGGGAGGAGGGTGGGAGGGAGGGGAGGGGAGGGGTGGAAAGGGAAAGGGGCAGAATGCGGAAAATCCAAGGCACAGAAAGGACGAGTGCGAGGGGGACTGACTGAGGCGGTGGTGGTAGGGGCCGGTGCTTCTTCCTCCTCCTCCTCGTCCTCCCATGACGACTTCACCGGCTCTTTCGCCACCACCACTGGCGGCGGCTCAAAATCGTCAGCATCTGCGCGGGAGTGAAAAGAGGAAGGGGAATGAGACGGTTGGGGGGAAAGTTGGTGTTGGTTGGGGAACGAGAGGAGAATGCGATGAACGGGGAAGGTGGGAAGGGAGAAGGGGGAAAGGGTTTTAGGAACGGGAAATGAGCGAGGGATGACGGGGGAAGCGAGGGATGACGGGGGGGAGCGAGGGATGACGGGGGGAGCGATGGACGCAACGGGGACGACGCAAGGCAGATGCTACGAAGCGTGTTGACAAACCAATAGGCATGAGGTGACGATCGTGCAGGCGATTTGATTGCGATCTTGGACGACCACGAATTAGGCGTGTCAACTCATTTCTGGGATCAATCGTGCATTCCGTAACAATCTTAAGTAGACTTTTGTCGTAGCCTTTAAAGGACTAATCAAATTCCCTTCATGCCAATCCATTAAGATTGACCGATGTCGCAGGACGAGAAAGGCGAGCGACCAGGCATAGCCGACAACGGGTCGGCCTCGATGCAACGGATAAAGCATATTCTTAGACAAGCTGCCCAAGAAGCGATGACTTGGACCAATGAATTATCCATTCGTCAAACCATCGACGACGCTTATTTCAAACAAAAGCACGAGGCTAAAAAATACGATGACGAACAGGTGAGACTGCTCTTGACGCGCCATCCGTTTTAAGATGATCCGAGACTGCGAGTATCACGATTAAGGCTCAACAGAGCTAGCTTGACGCTTACACAACAACACGAGTTCGAATCAGCTAGGCGAACTAAAGAATGTCGATACAGCTGAGACAACGCTCACGCGAGTTAGCCAAGCAGAGGACTTACCCCAATCGTCTGACATTTCTGATGACTTTCAGTAGTCAAACACGAGCCCGAAACGGCTAGAACAATCAACACCCTTGTAGGTGATCTTCAGGAGTCAAATTGCTGGTCTGACAATGTCTGCTCGCTGCTGAGAACAGAAGAGGACAAAGAGTTCCTATCCTTGATGCTAGTCTGCCAAGGAAACAAGTTCCCAAAGGACAGTAAAGAAAGGCAACTGGTCAGCTGTAGATGCTCAAGTTCTATGACTGGCATGGCAGAAAGAAACACACCCACGCGACAACAAGCCCTCTGAAAAGGTGACTGAATCGAGGGGTCAAGTCCAAAAGGTGCAAAATTGAGAATGCGGTGATCAAGTTTTTGGCGGGGAGAATGCGTGGCTGTAAGGAGGATAGGGCTCGATAGGGAGAAAGCCGAAGACATAACGTGATTGGCTGGGGTGGGGGATTCCAGCTTCTGGGGGTCGCATTATCCCAGAGACTGACACGTGGGTTGCTGATGCATTTGCGAAATTCTACTTACGTACGGTTCTTGTTACTTATGTAATTTAGAACCTGGTGCTTTTATTGTTGTTGTTGTTTGTTGGTTGTTGGTGCTTATTGTTGTTGGTTGTTCTTATTTTATTGTTGTTTTTTACGAGAGCATTACACTGACTGCAACTAGCAACAACAGGAGCATGTACTAATATCCTACAGGATTTCAATCATCATCTCAAACATACAGTGAGTCTAAACTCGAATATGGAAGTAATCATTGTCAAAGTGATGAAGGCGGACATATCCATCCTCTCCACCGCTTGCAAAGCTGCAATTAAACACAAAAAACTAATGAGAACAAAACAACTTGAAAAAGATGGAAACTTAACAAATGAAGGAAGAGAACCTGATAAGAAACGACAACTTCTGAGTTCCATACCTTCGTCCATCAGGGCCAAATGCAAGAGCGTTCAACGGGCCGAAATGCCCCTTCACTCGCCCAATTTCTTCTTCCAAAACCTGCCAGAGTGATCATGCAGACGGGAATTACGGTAGGAAATGCGTGGGCATTGCGCACAAACAATAAAATAACGACCTTGATTATTGCAAGGACAACCTTCGAACAGATTCGACTACAAGTAACGGAGGATAGCACAAGTGGCGTAAAAGTTGTCCGAATTCATTTGCAGGAGCGGCTCTTGAGCGGAAGACTGGCAACGAAGAAAACAGAGCAGGGAGCACAAACCTTGTGGTAAAAGACGGCTTCGAATTTGCCTGCTCGTGACGAAGTGGTGGTCACAGACGCCGCGTCCTGACCTCCTCCCAGCACCACCTGTAAAGGAACAATGGGAATAAGGCAGAGCATAGGAGGAAGCAAACATGAAAATAAAGTGATTGCAACAGGAACAAGCCAGATGCCTTCACAACCTCTACTCCAGCATAAAAAATGACAGAACCGAGTGAAACGTCAGGAGAATGCCAGACAGACACAGGAAGGAAGAAACTTGATGGTCGCGGTGAAGGCAGGGAAAGAAACCGAAGTGATGAGGGACTGAAGCGCATGAGGCAAGGGGAGGAACTGACATGGTCGAAAAGAGGGGAGATGCCAACAGCGTTGATGAGATGAAAAAATATGGAGGCTGTGCTGTAGAAAGGGAGAGGAGCTGAGGTGGCGAGGTACTCAAGAGGGCGAGTAGAGGGGAGGCACTGACATGGTCAAAGAGAGGGGAGATGTCAACGGCGTTGATGGGTCGTTCTGTCTGATATGTCTTGAGTAGGCGCAGCGTGCGCGTGTCCCACAGCTGCAGCGGAAACATAAAAAGAAATGAAAAGAAAAGAACGAAAAAACAAACACGCATTAAGAAAAATAAGGATCAGCTTTGGGTTTCTCAAAACCTTCTCACACATGCAAAAAACAAGTCTGCTGACAAATTACATTGTCACAACAGTGACTTCTGAGACATTGTTCATTAGCACATGAATTGTACCTCACCTTGGCACACTTATCCAACGACCCTGTGATGAAGTGCGACCCGTCTGCTGACAGGTGACTTGGGCACAAACACTTCTTATTAGTAAATCCCAACCCACCTTGGCGCACTTATCCAAAGACCCTGTGATGAAGTGCGACCCATCTGCTGACAGGTGACTTGGGCACAAGTACTGGATATATGAACATTTCTAGCATGTATATTCGAACTCACCTTGGCGCACTTGTCCAACGACCCTGTGATGAAGTGTGACCCATCTGCTGACAGATGATATTGGCACAAACACTTCTTATTAGTGAATCCCAACTCACCTTGGCGCACTTATCCAGGGACCCTGTGATGAAGTGCGACCCATCCGCTGACTTGGACAGCGACGTCACTGTCTTGCTGTGCGCCACTTCCGGCTCTGTCTCGCGCAGCAACTTGCCCGTCTGGTTGAGTGGAGGAAGAGGTTTGGAGAGGGATAGGAGAAGGGAGAGGGAAGGAATGAAGTGAGACCCATCAGCTGACTTAGACAGCGACGTCACTGTCTTGCTGTGTGCCACTTCCGGCTCTGTCTCGCGCAGCAGCTTGCCCGTCTGTTGGTGTGCAGGAGGCCGTAAGGGGCGGGGGGAGAGTGGGGTGAGTGAGGAATCAGTGTTCTGGAAGGTAGGTCTTGCTGTGTGCCACTTCAGGCTCTGTCTCGCGCTGCAGCTTGCCCGTCTGTTGGTGTGCAGGGGTTGAGGAGGGGGTGGAGAGCGCAGGGTTGTGGATGCATGGAATGCAGCACACGGGAAGGTCTTGCTGTGCGCCACTTCCGGCTCCGTCTCCCGCAGCAGCTTGCCCGTCTGAGTGTGTTAAAGGATAGGAGAATGGGGTGAGTGAGGGGGGAGAGGGCGGGCAGGGATATGAGGTGAGGATGCATGGAAAGCAACATAAGGCAGCCTAGTAGCAGCACACCCACCCACCATCAAGACCTGCCACTACACCCATCGCAACACCTAGTAACGCCTCCTCACCACTGACACCACCCATCCGCCTCACCTCAGCGTCCCACATGCGGATGATGCAGTCCTCCCCCGTGCCGATGAGCGTCTGGTTGAGAGGGGACCTACCTACCATTTACGCAACCACCAACAGCCCTGCACCTACCACAGCACCCAGTAACACCCATTGGTACCGCACCCAACCAGCCTCACCTCTGCATCCCACATGCGGATGATGCAGTCCTCCCCCGTGCCTATGAGCGTCTGGTTGAGAGGGCCCCACACGCAGCGCATGATTCGACCCTGGGGACCTGTGATCTGCAGCACAGACTCGTCCTCCTCTGAAGATAACAGAGGGAAGGAAAGGGAGATGGACGAGACAACACAGAGGGGAGGCACACACAAGATAGTGAGTGGGCTACACCACACGTAGCGCATGATTCGGCCCTGGGGACCCGTGATTTGCAGCACCGACTCGTCCTCCTCTGATGGTGACACAAGGGAAAGGAAGGGAGATAGACGAGACAATACAGGGGGGTGGCAGACGCCGGATACTGAGTGGGCCCCACACACAGCACAGAATTCGACCCTGGGGGGCTGTGATCTGCAGCACTGACTCGTCCTCCTCTGATGGTGAAAGTTTCAGGAGGGAATAAGAGGGGAGGGAATGGGGAGTGAACCGAATGCACAGCGCAGAGAAGAGGCGGACGCGACTCACAGAATGGCCCCCGCATGCAGCGTATGATTGCCACCTGAAGAGCACTCACGCTCTCAGCTGCCTTCCTTAATCTGCTTGACGTGAATGGCCGGCACGCTGCCCATAAAAGGGTCCACCGTGATCGCCGCGAGCTGCTCTCCCTCCGCGAGAGTGATAGGGCAGATGCGCAGGGAAGGGACGAAGGGGTTAGGGAGACAATGCGGAACTCACGCTCTCGGCTGCCTTCCTTAATCCTCTTCACGTGAATCGCAGGCACGCTGCCCATAAACGGATCCACCGTGATGGCCGCGAGCTGCTCTCCTTCCACCAGAGCGACGGAGCACATGAGCTTACGGGGGTGTGGCACTCACGCTCTCGGCTGCCCTCCTTGATCCGCTTGACGTGGATGGCCGGTACACTCCCCATAAACGGATCCACCGTGATCGCCGCGAGCTGCTCGCCCTCCGAGAGAGCGACGGAGCGCGCAGGGCCGTCCATGGTGAAGGTGTAGTACGGCACGCCCGTCTCCACCTCCCACAGCTTCACGCTCTGATCCGCCGACGCCGTTATAAGCATCTTGGAGTCGCCTGTAACGGGGATGGACGGGGTTGGAAGGGGTTGCGAGGGGTTGGGAGGGGTGGAGAGGGGTTGGAAATGGGGCGCGCAGGGCCGTCCATGGTGAAGGTGTAGTACGGCGCGCCCGTCTCCACCTCCCACAGCTTCACGCTCTGATCCGCGGACGCCGTTATAAGCATCTTGGAGTCGCCTGTAACGGGGATAGACGAGAAGGGTAGCGAGGACGGACGGACGGAAGGGGGATGAGCAGGGCGGTTCACGGCGAAAGTTTTTGGCAAGACATGGCTGATATGCGCAGCTTTCTGGTCGCCTGTAACGGAGACGCCTATAAAAGGGATGGACGGGCATGGGAGGGGTTAATAAGGGGGCGCGCAGGGCCGTCTATGGTGAATGCACGGTAAGAGGGACGGGTAAGGAAGGGGGAAGGGGATGGAGGAAGAGGATTGGGGGAAGAGGTACCGTGGAGGTTGCATAGTGACGAAGAGTAAGAGCAGGGTGCGAGAAAGGTAGGAGCTTGAACTGCAAAGCCTATAAGGTTGTAGTCCTGATCATCGAGTGACACGCCACAACCGACGATGCGTGAAGGGTGCGGGAAAAATCACAACAATAAACAAACAGTATCGCACGGCAGGCCACCAGGCAAGAAACCCCGATTAAACCCTAGCGCGGAAAGCTCATACCGTTCTTCCGTGCGTACTTGGTGGCTAGTGTTTGAATCGTCTGATTAGGTCCGCCCTGATTCCAGATAACCTTTAACCTAGGGCCTAATGCAAGTGATCAAGGGAAGACCCACGCGTCAAAACTGACGGATAACGGAAACAGCTAAACGGCTAGACGGCTAGAATTCCGGCTAAATCACAGTAGATTCCGCTCGGCACCATAAGCGCTCTCGTAATCGACGAAATTCGCTCAAGGCTCGATAACACAGCCGTAACGGACGATCAGCGAGAACTAGCCAATCCAAAACCTAATCTGATCGCTCGTCTAGCCCTTGCACTAACAACCTAACAACCTTATCAGTCACGAAAAAATCGGTCGCTAATACCTAATGGCTAAAGAGCCTTCCTAATCCCACAGGAAAGCCGTCACTGCTACAAACGGCTTCGTTACGTTCTTCGTACGTGTCGAAGGCACTCGCACTGACCCTCTCGCCTCTATCTGGCAAATCGTGCTACGCCGCTCTTCACATCAACGATCACTGAAGATTTCTGGAATTGAGAATTCGTGATCGGAACACTCACGCGAGACGTCGCACGTCCACACTGCTCCGTTGTGGCCCTTGTACGTGCCGACGCGCTCGCCGTTATCCGTGTACCACACGGTGGGCTGGTGGTCCTTGGCACACGAAAACAGCAGATCGCCGTCGCGATTGTACTTGAGGAACGTCAGCGGCCTCTCGTGACCCTTCATCAGTAGCGGCCTCATCTTTCCCGCGCGTACTTAGGTTCAAAACAAAATAAAATCCTTTGCTATTGAAGGAGTGGACGGCTATGGCGGTCTAGGCTTATTAGCTAGACGGCAAGAGTTAGAGCTGGCTGTGCGTGGAAGCCAGAGGAAACAAGGACGCACGAGAGACGGAATCGAGTCCCGCAGACGCGGAGGAGGGAGAGAGAAAGAGAGAAGGGCAGCTAGGGGAAGTGACAGGGCTTTGTGCACAGGAAGAATTTCTGGTCAGTGGAGAGGTGTTTTGTCGCAATAAGGTTTCGTATGGTCTGTAAAGGTGCCGGATGGTTGGGAAAGCGCTTGATCAAAGTAGAAACCACACTACAAAGCTTATCATCACAACATTAGCTCCCCACTCTCTACATTACAAACTACGGTAAGCAACAATACGGTAATAACACCACATCTTCTTGTTCTAGAGTAGTTTTCCTTTCAATATGGTGCTTCAAATCCCCTTACCACACGGCCATACTTCTGCTTAGGTCATTTGTACCAGCTGCACCTGAACATCTATGCATCGGCTTTGGTTTCTTCTGTCTATCATGTGATCTTTCTGCACCTCCCCAAGTCTTGGCGTTTGAGCACTTGAATACTCTCTCTGGGTTTTTTTCCTTTTTGTAAGACTGACCCTGCAATTGACTGTGTTGGTAATGCTAATCCATATGAACCTAAGACAAGTGCTCTATAAACGGCTCATATCCAGGATTCACGGCAAAAGCCTGGTTCGGCGCTATTCTAGTGTACGGTGAAGCAAGTCGGCCAAGGTTAGGGCCATACCTAGCCGACCTTCAGCCCTATCACCAGGTCTCGGTGGCTCGATCTGTGCCGAAACCTGTCAGAGCCAGTCCAAGCTAGGCAGGCACCCCCCAGCTTCCCCCGCAGAGCGGAACAGGCTGTCAGAGAACCGAACCAAAAAATAGACCAGAGCTCCAAGTTCGGAAAAAATGCGCGACGCGACAGGCGCCGAACTTCTCTCAAACCCATCGACCAAGCTCGCACCACAGATAGGGCGATCCGAACCTCGGCCAAATGGATCGACCTACATGCGCTTCCATGTTATTTTCATGCTGCAAACGCGGTTACATAAGCGTTACAGGTGCCATTTGGTTTTACGGTCAGAATCGCGAAATTACAGCTTGAGGTTCCGATTCTTCCAACATATATATTTGGTTTCGCTACGCGACGCTACCGAGTGAGTCAGCATGCTGACCGCGGGCAAACAAAATAAACCCCATGGCTTACGGCATGCCATTCGGGAGCCTCAACCCTAAAATTTTAGGGTTGAGGCTCCCGAATGGCATGCCATCCGGATGGGGTTTATTTTTTCTTGCCCGCGCAATATATATTCCATTAAACAAGAAACGTGGCACGCGCGCCAAACATAATCGCGCTTCCGAAACAGTGACATGAGGGACCACCGACTCTTACGCATCAGAAATGTCTGTCTTTATCGCAAAAGCGCATGTAGGTCGACCCATTTGGCCGAGGTTCGGATCGCCCTACCTGCGGTGCGAGCTTGGTCGATGGGATTGAGAGAAGTTCGGCGCCTGTCGCGTCGCGCAATTTTTCCTCCAAGTTCGAATCAGTCCTCCCTACTTTTGGGGCAAACCTGGACTTCTCTAGACCCATGTAACTAATATTCGTGGACTTCCCTAGAGATTAGTTGCAGGAATGCCAGAACTATTTTCCCTGACTCGAATTGCTGGAAGTATTTCGTAGTACTTTTGTCTCGCGTCTGCAACACAGCCGTTCTCGTGTGCGCGAGTGAGGTTCAGTAAGCAGTGCTGACAAAAAGGTTCGTGATGCGTTTGGCGGATTGCTGTCGAAGTTGTCGGAATATGGATCTTTCTGTCCTCCGCTAGACGGATTGCGTAGACGAATATTTGCAAATTCCATAGATATTTGCAAATATAGGCTTCCATGATGGCAAGTACCATTCCCACGAGAAAGCAGAACGTGATGGTTAGTCCAAGCATGAACAAGAATCAATTCTGGACGTTTGGTGCACAAGGCAGCTACAGAAGCTTTCTTTGTATTGATAAGGTTATGCTTTCACGCATGAGCTCGAAGAACGGGTCTTGGTGGCGAAGAACGTCGAAATGGTTACTTCTAGTTACATTCGTTAGCGTTGTTCTCATGATCCGGGAGTCTCGGATGACTGGCACAGACGACAGCACAACGGTCTCGTTTTTCTCTCGACCAAATTTGCCGGGGAGAATAGGACATGGAGTGAATGAGGAGGATTGGAGCGCGAGCAACACCGTTCCTCATCCAGACGTCGTTGTCTGGGCTAAGGTTCGTCCTCAAGGCTTGTAAGGAGTGCACCAAAGGTTTTCCCACATATTCAAATGTTATGGTTGAGAAGGTGATGAAAATGGTACCGAATGATTTTTTTGAGAATTATACGCAGAGCCCTGCTAAAGAACAGACAATCTTAAAGCAAGCTGTCGCTCATACTTGTGCCTGCATTCATAAACTAACCAGTCTCTCTCGTCTTCGTTTCCTCCAATCTCAGGGTCTGCTTCACGAGCGGCTGGAGGCGGTGTGTGCGGGATACGCGCTGCACCAGCTCTTATCGTCCAAGCTCTCCCCCGCCGAACCCAGCAGCTCCTCACAAGACTCGCAAGAATCGCACAAAACAGAGGAAGCACAGCAAGCGCAGCAAGCGCCGTTACGGCTGGCCGTGCTATGGCTGCCAGATGCAGGCATGCCTCACGCCACGCTGAGCCACGTCCTGGGGCCTCTGCCTCGCACCAGCGCGCTCTCCTCTTCGCAAGGCTTTCAGCAGCCAAACAACGGAGAACAGCTGCAGCAGCAGCAGCAGCAGCAGGGTTTATCCTCCGGTGCAGCTGACTCGCCTGATGAGACTCTGGTGCTGCATTATCACCCCAGTTGGCTCAGCTCGCCGCTTTACACCTACGGGGTATGCGTTTCAAAGAGGCGCGTTGAAATGTGCAATCATGTGTTAATTCTTTGTCTCCTTTCTTGCAGAAAAGTGTGTATCTGTGGTTTTTGTGTGTGTGTGTGTGTGTGTGTGCTCATCACGTGTGTTCCACCTGCTCGCTTCTCCTGCGTGTCTCAACAGACCCTCAACTCGAAGATCCCTCAACCGATCTCCCAAGAGCAGTTGCACCAGCAGCAGCAAGAGCAAGAGCAACAGCCTGTGAACACCTCTTCCTCTTCCTCGTCGTCATCCTCCCCCTCCCACCCTTCTCGCCGTCTGCACGTCAATTTCTTCCTCTCCGCCTCCCTCCCTCCCATGGCCGCCGCCCTTGCTGACGTGGGCGGCTCCCACCTCCACACCTCCCTGCAGCGCTGCTACAGCCTGCTACAGCCGTCCACAGCCGTGCAGGAGCTGATAGCCAAGGAGAACATGACACGTGTCCAGCAGAGCACAGCTGTGTACCTAGAGCCAATCTCACTCTCCCTCCCCTCCTCGTATCCTTGCTCGAGCTGCGACCCAAAATTCGCGGTCAACTGCACGACACGCCGCCTCATGTGGTTTTTTCTCGGGCAGCCCGAAGGCGACGCTACAGTTGTGGGCTTCTGGCCTTCGCAGGCTGTAGCCGTGACAGAAACTTTCCATGAGAACCGCCAACCGCATTTGCTAGAATCCACGCGACTCCGTGCGCAGCAATGCGAGGGCGGCAACCGCAAAGGCAACGGTAACCACATGGGAGGTGGTAACCGCATAGGGGGTGGCTATGTAGCTCCGCCTATCATCCCTCCCGGGCTGACTGTGAGGCAGCAGACGGCTAAGTGGATGTGGTGGCTTGGACTGGCGGATGGTAGAGATTATTACACCACAGGTACAGGGGGGTTGGGAGGAGGAGCACGAGCGGAAGTGGGAGGGAAAGTGGGAGGAAAAGTGGGAGTAGAAGGGCGAGGAGGAGGGGCGAATGGGACTGACGAGTCGGCTGGTGGCACACGGCGGCTGCTTTTGTCTGATAGTGTGGAGAGCGGTGGCAGCAGCAGTTGGAGGAGGCGTAGGCTGGAAGTCCAAGCATACCCAGAGCGAGAACCAGGAGCATTAGCATCCCTACCATCATTATCAGCAGCAGCGGAGGCAGTATCAGCCGCAGCAGCAGCAGTTTCAGATGAAGGAGCAGCAGCATCAACCACAGCAGAAGCAGCATCAGCCACAGCAGAAGCAGCATCAGACGAAGCAGCAGCATGGGTAGAATGCGCGCAGCTGGAAGCAGCGGAGTTATTCACCCTCTCGTCCGCGCAGGGGCTCATTCACCTGCAGCACTCCCCCCAGGCGGACCTCATCCGCGCGCAGGCCTCCGCCAGGGGCAGTTCCCCCCGCATGCACGACGTGCTAGTGGCGCCAGAGAGCTTCCCCCGCGGGGAAGCGCCACCAGGGATAGGGGGGAATAGGGGGAGTGCAGGGAAGGAGGGTGGAGAGGAGAGAGTGTTTGAGGAGGAGAGGGGGTTATGTGATGCGCCGAGGATACTGCCTGTGACAGAGCACCGCATTGGAAGGCAACTCATTGTCGATGGTACGTGGCTGTCCCTGCCAATCCTGGTTGTGTATGGTAGCTTTTTGCCCTTGCAAGCCTGGTTGTGGATGGGATATTTTGCCCTGCCAAGCCTCCCTTTCTCACTGTTGGCTGTGTGATGCGCCGAGGATACTGCCTGTCACAGAGCACCGCATTGGCAGGCAACTCATTGTCGATGGTACGTGGCCCTGCCGAGCCCAGTTGTGGATGGTATGTTGAACTGTCAAACCTCCGTTCCCCACTGTTGGTTGTGTGATGCGCCGAGGATACTGCCTGTGACAGAGCAACGCATTGGCAGGCAACTCATTCTGGATGGTATGTTGCGCTGCCGAGCCTGGTTTTTTATTGTGGTTTGTTGCACTCACATGCCCGGTTATGGATGGTATGTGAGGGGAGAGTGTTTGAGGAGGAGAGGGGGCTGTGTGATGCGCCGAGGATACTGCCTGTTACAGAGCACCGCACTGGAAGGCAACTCATTCTGGATGGTATGTGGCTGGCCCTGGCAAACCTCCTTCTTTCACTATTGAATCTGCCTTTCTTGCCGCCAGGGATAGGGGGGAGTACTGCTACGTGCAGAAGGCGGGGTGCACGAGCTGGAAGGTCTGACCGAGGGATTTCCCAGTGCACCTGACCTACTTGAACACCTCACTCCCTTCCGCTCTCCCCTCCCCACCAGAGGACGTGGGCATGGTGTATTGCTACGTGCAGAAGGCGGGGTGCACGAGCTGGAAGTTCTGGCCAAAGGATTATCCAGTGCACCTACTGACCTGCGACAGACCCTTACTCCTCTCTTTTCCTTTTCCTCCCCTCCCTTTTCCTCACCTCCCCTCCCCACCAGAGGACGTGGGCTTGGTGTATTGCTACGTGCAGAAGGCGGGGTGCACGAGCTGGAAGTTCTGGCCAAAGGATTATCCAGTGCACCTACTGACCTGTGACAGACCCTTACTCCTCTCTTTTCCTTTTCCTCCCCTCCCTTTTCCTCACCTCCCCTCCCCACCAGAGGACGTGGGCATGGTGTATTGCTACGTGCAGAAGGCGGGGTGCACGAGCTGGAAGTTCTGGCTGCGAGAGCAGCACCACCACCCCTTCCCCAAGTCCTTCCTCTCCGCCCACACCGCCCACTTCACCAACGTCACTGCCGTCTGGTACTCTCTCACCGAACCCCAAGCCATACGCGCCCTCACCCGCCGCGACTTCACTCGCTTCGTCTTCCTCCGGAACCCATACACACGCGTTCTGTCAGCGTATCTAGACAAGATGCTCCGGGGGGGCGGCCCGGACGACCTCGGGGCAGGGTTCTGGGCGCAGGCTTTTTTCGGGCAGCTGATCACGCACTCGTTATGGGACGCCATGACGTTTCAGTCAGGTCCGGGAACTGCTCGGCTGAGGAGCATCTGGGAAATAATTCAGCTGCGGACTGGGTTTCGAATCACGTTCGATGAATTTGTGGGGTACCTGGGAGAGGCGTGGGAGATAGAGAGCCGGTTTCATCTAGATGTGCACATAGTGCCGCAGACTCTACTGTGCGTGTTGGACCGGATAAAGTATGACTTCGTGGGGCGGTTTGAGAGCATGGATGAGGATGTGATGACGCTGATGAGGCGGTTTGGGAGGGAGCCTGGCGACGCGTTCAGCTTCGGGAAGAAGCTTCAGAAAACCAAGTCCCGGGGCCGCTTGAGCGAGGCTTTTGCGAATAAGGTACGCTGTTGGTTCAGAAATCAAGTCTAGTGGTGCACGACAGGTATGTTTTCCGGTAAGGTATGCTGTTAATTCGGAGAACCTTTCAAACCCAAGTCCAGGGACCACATGAGAGATGTGTTTGTCGGGAAGGGATGCAGATGGAACCTGGTTGCCTCCAAGGCAGAGATACAGTACTGCGTGCGTGTGTGTGCGCGCGCGCGCGCGCGCGTGTGTGTGCGTGCGTGCGTGCGTGCGTGCGTGCGTGCGTGCGTGCGTGCGTGCGTGCGTGCGTGCGTGCGTGCGTGTGTGTGTGGTCGCGCACATGCCATCTTGCAAGTGCAATATACTCTTTAATCACTCTATCTTTGTCCTTCTGCCCGCCTCTGTACTCCCATGTTACGACCCCCCTCCCACCTGTGCCCCCCTCTCCTTGTTTGTCAACCATTTTTCAGAAAACCTTTGACACGGTCAGTCATGTTTACAGTCTGGATGTGAACAACACCCTGAATCACATCGTGTACGAACCGCCAGACGAGCTGAAGGAGATATATGGGACTGGGGGTTGAAGTTTGTCCTTGCTTCAACACCTTCTGAGCATGCCTTATTTAGTTTGTGTGAAGAATCTCATCGATAATCCCCAACGCCTGTTGAGAAATCCTACCAGGCTTGGTTGGAGCGAGCTTCTGTCAGCCCCAATATCTGGCTCCGTAGGGCACCTGAAAAGAAAAACGGGAATGCTGCATATTATGGTGTTCCCTTGTGTCTTGCCCGTGGCCAAGGGCAGGGGAGTGGAGACTATAGCTGGAATTGTAACAGCGTCCAACTCCACTTTCACATTTTCTAGAGTCCGAAACGGAGCTCCTTCAAACGAGAGACTCCTCCTTTAGAGCCTAGGGATCTTCAACACCTGCTGCAGGAAAAATTGCGCGACGCGACAGACCCCGAACTTCTCTCAAACCCATCGACCAAGCTCGCACCACAGATAGGGCGATCCGAACCTCGGCCAAATGGATCGACCTACATGCGCTTTCAGGATATCTTCATGCTGCTAAAGTATGACTAGGCGTCACAGGTGCCATTTGGTTTTACGGTCAGAATCGCGAAATTACAGTTTGCGGTTCCGATTCTTCAAATATATATATTTGGTTTCAATACACGACGCTACCGAGTGAGTCATCATGCTGACCGCGGGCAAAAAAAAATAAACCCCATGGCTTACGGCATGCCATTCGGGAGCCTCAACCCTAAAATTTTAGGGTTGAGGCTCCCGAATGGCATACCATCGGGATGGGGTTTATTTTTTTCTTGCCCGAGCAATATAAATTCCAGTAAACAAGAAACATGGCACGCGCGCCAAACATAATCGTGCTTCCGAAACAATGACATCGAGAGGGACCACCGACTCTTTCGCATCAGAATTGTCTGTCTTTATCGCAAAAGCGCATGTAGGTCGATCCATTTGGCCGAGGTTCGGATCGCCCTACCTGCGGTGCGAGCTTGGTCGATAGGATTGAGAAAAGTTCGGCGCCTGTCGCGTCGTGCAATTTTTCCCCTGCTGCACCCTCTTTCTGCCAAATGCCAAATGCGCTTCCCCTCGCACATTTCAAAATTGCAATGCTGGTTCCTGATTAGTCATCGAGAAGTCCGCCTGCACTCGGCGGGTTTCGCGCCACGATAGCATCACACGGATGAGGAAGCCTCGGGATTTGGATACGAGATTGTGCGAAACGATTAGGCTCCCTGATAAGCGAACACGTGTACGACAACGAATGGGGATGAGATTGCGGCATATCCCTTTCAACGGTCACCGCGATGACGAACCGACCACTTCAGATTCTCCATTCCATTGTTTCTCCCTTAGCAGCAAGAGCTGCTAATTGAGCGTACCGAATCGGCATTCCGTGCATGTGGTAATACACATACAGGCCGATTTTTGTCCCTTGCAGGCCATACTGGAATTATAGTTTATTGCACGCCTATTCAGTGATTTTATGTCAGAATTCCAGCTCACCTGGTTCCCAACGCGGTCCTAATCAAGTCGGCAGCTAAGAAGATATTTTTCTCGCCTCGACTTTGAATTGAAGACCGTAGCTTGCGATTAGTAGCGTGCGAGCCAGCTGACGCCATGACGCCAGCTAATTCAGCTTCCAGAGTTGTCGCTTCCCCCAGCTGTAGCCATCGCTCAAGCGTCCTCCAGTCGACACCTCCGAGGCTTCCATCTAGCTCTCAGGCACAGAAAACGCGCTGCTCTCGATTAGACGCGTGCATGCCGGGAGATCGATGCGAGTTACAGCGAGAGTTACAGTTGAGCGGCCGAGGCCACACCAACCACAGCTACCACAGCGCAAGTTCCGGCTGGCACTGTCGTCCTTCGGTCAGACCTGACGTCAGACGTCCCATTCGCCGGTCGTCAGGAAGCCTTTTCCAGGACCGTACGGACTGTAATCGATCGAGGTTTTCCTATTGGACGAAGTTTCCTCGTGCGGGGAGCGGCAATGGACGGAGATCCCAATCTCGACTCGAAGGTTCCCGATTACGAGCTTCTCGAGTCCAACAAGGCGGGGGGGCTCACGTGCGTGCGCCTGCATGCAGCCACGTTGCGCCCTCTCCGCTCGCTTCACGCACTTGGCTTCCGGATTTCGTGCCCGGGAGTGCATAGACGGGCGGCATGCCTGCATCGCCCTTGCATCGCTGGTTTTTCCTTCTTATGAAGGTCGCGGGAAGGTTCCTGGCGCGCGTCGAGACGTATCGAGCGCCTGTTTCGGTCTTGATAGTTTCAATCACGGTGATGCTTTTCAATTGTGACCGTGGATCTGCTTTGGATGGAGGCCGTCGACGCGGTCCGGGCCAGTTCGAATCAATCGATTCAATTGATCAATATGCACCATTGCCTCCCTGCTGCCTATTGCCTCTCGCGTCTTGCATATTGCCTCTTGCCTCTGTTGGACTCTTCAATCAACCTCGAGCTCGTTGCTTCTGCTGCATCTCCGCTGCCTCTCACCAACATTCATCTATGGTCGACAGCCAATCCGAGGTGAAAGAATTCAGACAAGGTCCCTCCCTCGTTCAAGCATTCATTGGTTCCCCGAGGTCCCTCAAGAACTCAGTCTCTCGAGAGACTCTCGAGCCAGCGTCCGTCTTGGGCAAGCTATTGTTGAGAGGGAGTGGGCCGCGTCTGTGCTGCACGTGATGAGCCAACTGCCTTTGCGTAGTTTTACAGCCTTTTAGGTGCCAGTCTCGGGCCTCGGAACTCACATTTCCTCGCTTCGTTCACTCCATTTCGGTGGTGAATCTCAGAGTCCCTCTTGCCAGCCTCAGCCGTCCTCGTTCTGCCTCAGCCACTCCTCGTCTTGTCTCTGCCGTTCCTCGTGCAACGTATCTCGGGCCTCCCTCCCTCCCTCGTTGCCTACTCTGGGAGTGTCCGTAAGTTTTCCATCTCCCAGGACTCTCGCGGAGTGAGTGGCTGTGATATTTCACTACCTCTCCTCGGAGAAAGTGTATCTGGCGGCTGGTGATAGCAGTGTGTCCGTTTCAGTCATTCATGGAAACAGGGGGGGCCGGGAAGGTCAAGGGCCTTAGTGTGGCTGCTGGTGGTGACGGAGATGATGGTGGTTATGTGCTTGGAAGTGAACATGCGTTGAGCTCTACCCTCCTAGAGGTGGCGGATCCGCCAGCTCATGGGATGGAGCACAACCACCACAATGGATACAGTCACAGAAGTATCTTCGAGGAACCCGGCTCTATCCTGGGAGACACTACTACCAACACTAATGGCCATGCTGGCAACATCAATGGCTGTGCTGACATCACTAACGGCCATGCTGGCAACATTAAAGGCGGTGCTGACAACACCAACAAACATGCTGACTCTGCTCTGTTGGTGAGAGCGTCTGTGAAAGGCTCAAAGACGGATGCTATTGGCCTGCTCATTCAACCTGCTATCGGCCTGCCGCCTGGCTGTCTTGAGCCGAGTCAGGCTGGTTTGGCGGTGGTGGGTGGAGATATTGAAGGGAATCTGCATGGGCGAGAAAGCAGCTGCAGCTGTGACGAGCCTGTGGGGCAGCGGCAGGTGAAAGGAGGAGCAGCAGCATCAGGAGGAGGGGAGAACGGCGATGGTGGATATGGCATGGATATAGCAGAAACGTTGGGTGGAGGAAGGGGAGAGGTGGGTGGAGGAGGGGGAAGGAGTGGGGGTGGAGGAGGAGGAGAGACAGAAAGAGATGGTGCGACTTCAGTTGGTGGTCGAGAGGCAGACTCTCAGAGGGTGTTGGCTCAGCCACCACTCCATATTCTTCAGTCCGTGCGGCCCGAGCCTCTCAACGGCTACAACGAGCAGGGTGAGTGCGTGTGAGAGGAACGTCTTTTCACCTTGTGACATGTTGCGAGTTCGCCTGGCGGTGGAGAGGCAGACAATCAGAGGGTGTTGGCTCAGCCGCCACTCCATATTCTTCAGTCCGTGCGACCCGAGCCTCTCAATGGCTACAACGAGCAGGGTGAGTGCGTGTGAGAGGAACGTCTTTTCACCTTGTAACATGCTGCGAGTTCACCGGGTGGTGAGGCAGACGATCAAAGGGTGCTGGCTCAGCCGCCACTCCATATTCTGCAGTCCGTGTGACCCGAGCCTCTCAACGGCTACAACGAGCAGGGTGAGTGCGTGTGAGAGGAACGTCTTTTCACCTTGTGACATGCTGCGAGTTCGCCTGGCGGTAGGGAGGCAGACGATCAGAGGGTGCTGGCTCAGCCGCCACTCCATATTCTGCAGTCCGTGCGGCCTGAGCCTCTCAACGGCTACAGTGAGCTTGGTGAGTGAGTTTGCGTGGAACGTCCCGACACGCCCTCGCAACCACAGTTTGGCACGTCGGATTGGTGGCAGCACTCTCACACACCCTCAACCCCATCCCCTGTAACACAGGCCAAGAGGGGCCAGCTGGCAGCATGGCTCCTGTGATCCACGGCATGCTGCTGGCGCATCCAACGGCTGAGAAGCCTCAGGAGCTGGAGTGGGACGATCTGATCGGTCGGATCGAGGCGGAGATTGAGAAGCCCCAGGCGAGCTCGTGTGTGGATGGCGAGTCGTCTTCTATTGCGAGACAGGACAGCCAGATGTAAGAAAAGGGGCTTGACTAAGAGGGGGTTTGGAAGGTAGAGGGGGCTTGACTTACAAGAAGCTCTGTGCAGAAGCATTTGAGATTTTGCACCACTTTCCTCTGCTGGCCTGCGGGTCCAGCGATAAGATTCCGTTTTCTTCCCTCCCTTTCCTTTCCTGCCCCCCTTCAGAGTGACTAGCGGTGAAGGAGCCGTCCCTCCAAGCGATGCTGGGGCAACCAAACGAGGTAAGCACAGCCTTCTCGCAGGTATGGTTGTTGCAGTATTGGGCGCAGCAGCAGATTTTTGAGGCGCCTCAAAAATTTTTGAGGCGTTTTTTGAGGCGCCTCATAAATGGGGCACCCAAACGAGGTAAGCACAGCCTTCTCGCAGGTATGGCTGTTGCAGTTTTGGGCGCAGCAGCAGCTGCACTGCACTGCAGTTTTGCCAGCTACACTAGGCGTTTTGATGCTCCATCTAGTCCTTGCTCGTTCCTCCACTTAATCCTTTCTTGCTCCTTTGCCGAATTCTTTCCCGTTCCTTCCCGTAATCCTACATCGTTCGTTCACCTCACTGTTGTCGTGCCTGCGTCGTCCCCTTGATCCGATTCGTGCAGAGGGCAGGCAAGGGCAACGCGAGGAAGGTGGTGCAGAGGAAGCGAATTGGTTAACATCATCAATGGCTTCAGATGCTTCTGCTGATCCGTCTATTCTTTGCTGCCTTTCCTCTCTGTGGTAACGTTTTCGCAGAGGCAGGCAAGGGCAAGGCGAGGAGGGTGGTGCAGAGGAAGCGGCCAGCCAACAGCACGTCCAAGTTCAGAGGGGTGACTCACCACTGCCGTACTGGGCGGTGGGAGGCGCATATTTGGTGAGTGATCTCTGTGGTGGGGAGGAGTAGCAGGCAGTGCCAGCATGTGTGTGTGGGGCAGCAGCGGTGCAGAGGCAACAGCACGTCCAAGTTCAGAGGGGTGACTCACCACTGCCGTACTGGGCGGTGGGAGGCGCATATTTGGTGAGTGATCTCTGTGGTGGGGAGGAGTAGCAGGCAGTGCCAGCATGTGTGTGTGGGGCAGCAGCGGTGCAGAGGCAACAGCACGTCCAAGTTCAGAGGGGTGACTCACCACTGCCGTACAGGGCGGTGGGAGGCGCATATCTGGTGAGGGTTGTTCTTAGACGATTTTTGAGGCGCCTCAAAAATCGCTGGGAGGCGCATATCTGGTGAGGGTTGTTCTTAAGGGCATTTGTAAGCGAGCTTATGTACTATGGAAGAACAACTGCATAGTAAGAGGTGACGCGTGCCCTTCAGGCTGCTTTGTCATTGTGTGTGCTTACTTGTCTGTCTTCTTGTGTGTCCCTTGATGTGAGTCCTTGTGCATCCCCTATTGTGCCACTTTCCATGTTGAAATTTGGGCAGGGAGGAGGGGCGGCAGGTGTATCTAGGAGGATTCGATTCTGAGAAGCAGGCTGCGCTGATGTACGATATTGCAGCACTCAAGATGAGGTGAGGACACACAGACCTGCCACATAAAAGCAGATAAGAAAGATTACATTGAGGAGGTGTGAAAAACATCAAGTTGCATGCATGCTGACACATGATGCAATCATGCTGCACTGGGTGTCATGTGTGCAGGGGCGAGGACGCGCAGACAAACCTACCGCCTGAAGAGTACACCAAGTATACCAAGGAAATAGGTGAGTCGTTCTCCTGAGTCATCTCAGCTTCTTCCTCCCTGTCAGAAGAACACCAGAGGCAGTTCTGAAAGTAGAGCTCTTTCTGGGGCTCCTGCTGCACTGGCAGTCTGAAGAAATCTTCCTGTTTCTTTTCTTCGTACTTCATATCGTATTGAACCCCACCAGAGGCCGTCCCTAAGGAGGAGCTTATTCTGCTGCTGCGGCGCCACAGCAAGGGCTTTGCTCGGGGGACGTCCAAGTACCGAGGGGTGACCAAACACCAGAAGGTAGGGCGAGGAGGGGACCTGCTGTCAACAGCGTTGGACAGAAACGTAGGGTGACGGGGGAGCGTCTCTATGTGAGTAGCAGTGGGTATATGTGGCGTGCGCTGGCTCAATACAGGGCCACAGCAAGGGCTTTGCGCGAGGGACGTCCAAGTACCGCGGGGTGACCAAACACCAGAAGGTAGGGCGAGGAGGGGACCTGCTGTCAACAGCGTTGGACAGAAACGTAGGGTGACGGGGGAGCGTCTCTATGTGAGTAGCAGTGGGTATATGTGGCGTGCGCTGGCTCAATACAGGGCCACAGCAAGGGCTTTGCGCGAGGGACGTCCAAGTACCGCGGGGTGACCAAACACCAGAAGGTAGGGCGAGGAGGGGACCTGCTGTCAACAGCGTTGGACAGAAACGTAGGGTGACGGGGGAGCGTCTCTATGTGAGTAGCAGTGGGTATATGTGGCGTGCGCTGGCTCAATACAGGGCCACAGCAAGGGCTTTGCGCGAGGGACGTCCAAGTACCGCGGGGTGACCAAACACCAGAAGGTAGGGCGAGGAGGGGACCTGCTGTCAACAGCGTTGGACAGAAACGTAGGGTGACGGGGGAGCGTCTCTATGTGAGTAGCAGTGGGTATATGTGGCGTGCGCTGGCTCAATACAGGGCCACAGCAAGGGCTTTGCGCGAGGGACGTCCAAGTACCGCGGGGTGACCAAACACCAGAAGGTAGGGCGAGGAGGGGACCTGCTGTCAACAGCGTTGGACAGAAACGTAGGGTGACGGGGGAGCGTCTCTATGTGAGTAGCAGTGGGTATATGTGGCGTGCGCTGGCTCAATACAGGGCCACAGCAAGGGCTTTGCGCGAGGGACGTCCAAGTACCGCGGGGTGACCAAACACCAGAAGGTAGGGCGAGGAGGGGACCTGCTGTCAACAGCGTTGGACAGAAACGTAGGGTGACGGGGGAGCGTCTCTATGTGAGTAGCAGTGGGTATATGTGGCGTGCGCTGGCTCAATACAGGGCCACAGCAAGGGCTTTGCGCGAGGGACGTCCAAGTACCGCGGGGTGACCAAACACCAGAAGGTAGGGCGAGGAGGGGACCTGCTGTCAACAGCGTTGGACAGAAACGTAGGGTGACGGGGGAGCGTCTCTATGTGAGTAGCAGTGGGTATATGTGGCGTGCGCTGGCTCAATACAGGGCCACAGCAAGGGCTTTGCGCGAGGGACGTCCAAGTACCGCGGGGTGACCAAACACCAGAAGGTAGGGCGAGGAGGGGACCTGCTGTCAACAGCGTTGGACAGAAACGTAGGGTAACAGGGGAGCGTCTCTATGTGAGTAGCAGTGGGTATATGTGGCGTGCGCTGGCTCAATACAGGGCCACAGCAAGGGCTTTGCGCGAGGGACGTCCAAGTACCGCGGGGTGACCAAACACCAGAAGGTAGGGCGAGGAGGGGACCTGCTGTCAACAGCGTTGGACAGAAACGTAGGGTGACGGGGGAGCGTCTCTATGTGAGTAGCAGTGGGTATATGTGGCGTGCGCTGGCTCAATACAGGGCCACAGCAAGGGCTTTGCGCGAGGGACGTCCAAGTACCGCGGGGTGACCAAACACCAGAAGGTAGGGCGAGGAGGGGACCTGCTGTCAACAGCGTTGGACAGAAACGTAGGGTGACGGGGGAGCGTCTCTATGTGAGTAGCAGTGGGTATATGTGGCGTGCGCTGGCTCAATACAGGGCCACAGCAAGGGCTTTGCGCGAGGGACGTCCAAGTACCGCGGGGTGACCAAACACCAGAAGGTAGGGCGAGGAGGGGACCTGCTGTCAACAGCGTTGGACAGAAACGTAGGGTGACGGGGGAGCGTCTCTATGTGAGTAGCAGTGGGTATATGTGGCGTGCGCTGGCTCAATACAGGGCCACAGCAAGGGCTTTGCGCGAGGGACGTCCAAGTACCGCGGGGTGACCAAACACCAGAAGGTAGGGCGAGGAGGGGACCTGCTGTCAACAGCGTTGGACAGAAACGTAGGGTGACGGGGGAGCGTCTCTATGTGAGTAGCAGTGGGTATATGTGGCGTGCGCTGGCTCAATACAGGGCCACAGCAAGGGCTTTGCGCGAGGGACGTCCAAGTACCGCGGGGTGACCAAACACCAGAAGGTAGGGCGAGGAGGGGACCTGCTGTCAACAGCGTTGGACAGAAACGTAGGGTGACGGGGGAGCGTCTCTATGTGAGTAGCAGTGGGTATATGTGGCGTGCGCTGGCTCAATACAGGGCCACAGCAAGGGCTTTGCGCGAGGGACGTCCAAGTACCGCGGGGTGACCAAACACCAGAAGGTAGGGCGAGGAGGGGACCTGCTGTCAACAGCGTTGGACAGAAACGTAGGGTGACGGGGGAGCGTCTCTATGTGAGTAGCAGTGGGTATATGTGGCGTGCGCTGGCTCAATACAGGGCCACAGCAAGGGCTTTGCGCGAGGGACGTCCAAGTACCGCGGGGTGACCAAACACCAGAAGGTAGGGCGAGGAGGGGACCTGCTGTCAACAGCGTTGGACAGAAACGTAGGGTGACGGGGGAGCGTCTCTATGTGAGTAGCAGTGGGTATATGTGGCGTGCGCTGGCTCAATACAGGGCCACAGCAAGGGCTTTGCGCGAGGGACGTCCAAGTACCGCGGGGTGACCAAACACCAGAAGGTAGGGCGAGGAGGGGACCTGCTGTCAACAGCGTTGGACAGAAACGTAGGGTGACGGGGGAGCGTCTCTATGTGAGTAGCAGTGGGTATATGTGGCGTGCGCTGGCTCAATACAGGGCCACAGCAAGGGCTTTGCGCGAGGGACGTCCAAGTACCGCGGGGTGACCAAACACCAGAAGGTAGGGCGAGGAGGGGACCTGCTGTCAACAGCGTTGGACAGAAACGTAGGGTGACGGGGGAGCGTCTCTATGTGAGTAGCAGTGGGTATATGTGGCGTGCGCTGGCTCAATACAGGGCCACAGCAAGGGCTTTGCGCGAGGGACGTCCAAGTACCGCGGGGTGACCAAACACCAGAAGGTAGGGCGAGGAGGGGACCTGCTGTCAACAGCGTTGGACAGAAACGTAGGGTGACGGGGGAGCGTCTCTATGTGAGTAGCAGTGGGTATATGTGGCGTGCGCTGGCTCAATACAGGGCCACAGCAAGGGCTTTGCGCGAGGGACGTCCAAGTACCGCGGGGTGACCAAACACCAGAAGGTAGGGCGAGGAGGGGACCTGCTGTCAACAGCGTTGGACAGAAACGTAGGGTGACGGGGGAGCGTCTCTATGTGAGTAGCAGTGGGTATATGTGGCGTGCGCTGGCTCAATACAGGGCCACAGCAAGGGCTTTGCGCGAGGGACGTCCAAGTACCGCGGGGTGACCAAACACCAGAAGGTAGGGCGAGGAGGGGACCTGCTGTCAACAGCGTTGGACAGAAACGTAGGGTGACGGGGGAGCGTCTCTATGTGAGTAGCAGTGGGTATATGTGGCGTGCGCTGGCTCAATACAGGGCCACAGCAAGGGCTTTGCGCGAGGGACGTCCAAGTACCGCGGGGTGACCAAACACCAGAAGGTAGGGCGAGGGGGCACCTGTTATCAGTAACGATGGGCAGAAGTTAAGGCGAGGTCGAAAGCCAACAAAAAGGCTGGAAGCATGGGGGCAAGCAGCATGAGAATTTCATTCAGGCCTCGCCCTTCCCTCTCTTCCTTGTTCCCACTCTCGCCTACTTTTTCTTTTTAATGACAGGGTCGGTGGGAAGCGAGGATAGGGCATGTGGAGGGCAAGCGGTATGACTATTTGGGGTTGTTCGACACACAGGAGCAAGCTGCCATGGCGTACGACAGAGCTGCTGTGAGGTGAGTGGTTTTTAGTCACTGCCTACCAACCGAGTACTTGACTCTCTATGGAATTACTTCGTTGTGATCCTTGAGTTGAATGTTTTTTGAGACGTCTCAAAACTCTCTATGAAATGACTTTGTTGTGCTCCTTGAATTGAATGTGATACGCATACCCTCCTCACACCGTCTCCACCCTTCCACTTCTCTTTCTCCCTGTTGCTGCGACAACTGATTCACAGGCAGAGGGGTCAGCAGGCAGTCACCAACTTTGATTTAGCCATGGTAAGTGTGTCGTGGGCACGAGACTTGGGCATGCCCGTTGGGCTTGTGTTGCATGTGCCTTTTGAACAAACCCGTTTCTTCTCATTCATCTCTTCGTTGCGTTGTACGCGGATGAAATTCATGACTTTAACCTCATGAGGCAACAGCACATGCGTCTGGCCCACCTCGTTGAAAGGCTGTGTTCTTCTCTAATTCTTTGTGTGTTTTTTTCTCTTGTGCACAGTACGCAGATGACATTCGCGAGTTCAACCTCATGGCACAGCGCCTGCAGCAGCAGAGGGCAATCCAAGCGCACTCCACCGTTCTGCACCACACTACTAGCACTTTCGAGTCGCAGATTTTCAACGCATCGCAACACGCAAGCAGCGGTATTGAGGCGAGGGTTTTCAACGCATCTCAACACGCAAGCAGCGGCATTGAGGCGAGGGTTTTCAACGCATCTCAACACGCAAGCAGCGGCATTGAGGCGAGGGGCAGTGGGTTGGAGCAGCACTGGAGAGTGCAGTCTGAGCCCAGCATTCGCTCTGGCGTGCTGCTCGTTCAGCAGCAGGAGGAGGCCCCACAGTGGCAGACGCAGCAGCAGACGCAGCAGCAGCAGCAGCAGCAGCAGCTGTTGCTGATGCAGCACCAGCATTTTCAGATGCAGCAGCAGCAGCAGCAGCAGCAGCAGCAGCAGCACCAACAGCAGCAGCAGCAGCAGCAGCAGCAGGTGCAGCAGCAGCAGCAGGCTCAGATGTTCCAAAGGCGCCAAAGCATTCAGTCTGAGTATCTGCAGCAGCAGCTGATGCTTCCACCAGAGACGCACAACAGCTTGCACGACCATGGGCAGCAGAGTTATCATTCCGCAGAGCAGGAGCAGGGGCAGAATCAGGGGCAGCAGCAGGCAGGGTGGGTGGACGAGCAGAAAAGGCCAAAACAGGCCAGACATACAGCTCCAGCTGCTTTCAATCGCACCAGCAGTGGCAGAGACCCGCAAGCCTTGCAGCCCCTGCCTTCTGCTATGGTTGTTGATGCGGCATTGGTACCTTCTCAGAACACCATTTCTGGCATTGCTGCAACCACCAGTGGTCTTATTACTCCTGGCAGCTCCACTCCTGCTACAACTGCTGCAGCTGCTACAGCTGCTACAGCTGCTGCTGGTGCTGCTACATCTCTCCGCCCGTCTGCTCCCCATCTCCCCCCCTTGGGCGTCTCCTCTTCTCTAGATGACTCCTTCCTCAGGCAGTACCCCCAGATTCCGCAGTTCCACCACCTCCCGTGGTCAGGTGCCATGTCAGGTGACTGGTCAGGTGAATTCAACAGAGCAAGCAGCGCCCTCGTATCTGGTAGCACAGCGCCTCTGCTGTCCCACCGGTCCCTCCTGTCAGGTAGTGTCCTTCTGTCTCCCAGTAACCCCCCTCCTCCTGCTGCCAAAAGTAAGTATGCTGCCGCTAGCAACACACTGGTACCCACTGCTGCCAATGCTTTTCACGGCCTCAGCAGCAGTAGTAGCGGTAGCTTCCTGGCAGCTGCCGACGTCAGTTGCTCGTCCTGGTTGGCTGGCCTTGCTCCTCCTCTGCAACTGCCAGCCAATCCGTACCTGCCACGTCACTTGAGCATGCAGCCACAGGTGGGCTTGCAGCGGCAGCTAAGCTTGCAGAGACAACTGAGCTTACAGCAACAACAGCAGCAGTGGCAGCAGCAGCAGCAGCAGCAACATGCATCAATCGATGACGTTTAGTGGGATGGGAGGGGTTGGGATGTCAGGTGGAATGGGGATAGACAGAAAGGGAAGCCATGGGATGGCTGGAGTCGATCTCTCGGGGTTCACAGGCCGAGGGGGTGGGTTCACTGCATCTGGGCTTTCTGCATTCACACCAACCGGTTCTAACCTCATTCCACCTGGTTCCGGCTTCACACTACCTGGTTCTAACCTTACACCAACTGATTCCCGCCTAACACTGCCTACAGCGCTCACAGCACCTACAGGGCTGACAGCACCAGGTCCTGATGGGGGCATGTCAGCACATGGAAGTGGGATGGCCGGAGAATCTGGTGGGATGGTAGCAGGTGCTCTGCGTGGGCTGTCATGTCCATCACAGGTGCTTGTGGCATCAGCAAAAGCAGCACCAGCCGTACCAGCAGCAGCAGCAGCAGCAGCAGGAGCAGCTGTCGCAGCAGCAACACCAGCAGCAACAGCAGCTGCTATAATTGCACCATCTTCCACAGTTGCTGTTTCCGCTCCCACCGTTCCCGCTTCTGCCCCTCACCCTGCTTCTTCTGCTCCTGCTTCTCCTGTTCCCCCTGCTGTTCCTTCTGTTCCTGCCTCTCCTGCTGCTCCCACCGCTCCTGCTACATCCCCGCCACATCCTTTGTCCTCTGTTGCAGCTGCTGCTGTGGCGTTGGCACACGGGGAGGGGAAGGACTGGTGGATGGGAAATAGCAACAACAACGGCACATCCTCAGCATCCCCTTTAGGGTCATCTCCGTTAGTAGCATCCCCCCTACAAGCATCCCCGCTAGGATCCCCGACTGTTACAGTGCAGGCTGTTGCTGCTTTTGCTGCGGCTAATTCTGCTGTTGATGCTGCTGCTGCTGCTGCTGCTGATTCTGCTGCTGTTGATGCTGCTGCTGCTGCTGCTGCTGATTCTGCTGCTGTTGATGCTGCTGCTGCTGCTGCTGCTGCTGATTCTGCTGCTGTTGATGCTGCTGCTGCTGCTGCTGCTGCTGAGTCACGGAGCCAAGCTGTGACTCACTGTGAGGGCAATGGGTTGCACCATGCTGGTTCCCAAGCTACTGAGGGGCGTGGTACAAACGAATGTGATACAAATGGGTGCACCCATACAGGCAACAGCAAAGGGCAGCAGCGGGTGGACTCACTAGACTCAGCAGAAGTGAAACACATCTATGGGGCCATCACCCCTCTCTACCCCCAATATCCTGTAACCACCACTGCCCCTCTCTATCCCCATCACAATTCTGACCTCTCCTCGCACATGCCTGGGCCCTCAGTCTTCCCAGACCATACTCGCCTTCCCGAGCCTGGCTTTGTCCGTTCCCAGTCCTCCCTCCTCCCCCCATACAGTCACCCGAACGCCCTCTCACATGGCCTTTCTCTCTGCGATAAGCAGTCGGCGTCGGCTGTTCATCACGCCCTGCTGGATCTCTTCGATTTGAACCACGACTTATCGAGGCGGGACCATGGCTTATCGCGGCCCGAGCACCACTTATCGCGGCCCGAGCACCACTTATCGCGGCCCGAGCAGCACTTATCGCAGCCGCAGCATGACTTATTAAGGCCAGAGAACCACGTCCCACGGGCAGAAGAGGGTACCAGTGATATCATTGAGGATTGTGAACAAGCAGCTCCGCCCCATTCCCCGCCTCTCATTCCTCCCTTCCCTCCTCCGTCCTCCCGCCTCGAGCGGTCAAGCAAAGTGAGCTTGGATCTGCTGCTGCAAGAGAAAGTGTAAGGGCATGTGCTGCTGCTGCTGCTTCTGCTGCTGAGGGCGAGTAGACCAGCCCTTGGTGCTGCTGCTTCTGCTGCTGCTATAATCTCTTAATAAGCGATGGGATGGGATGGATGATTGCGATCTCCTCTCCCAACTGCGCATGCCATCCATGCGCTCTGCTTTCCGTCGGCCTTCGTTTCGAAGTAGCATCTTTAATTGGTGTTAAAAAGGGAATTGTGGTGTGGTCTTGTTTGATTATTCTTTAGGTGTGAGTTATTGTGTTTCTTTTCTGTGTGTTTGTGTTCACTGTAGATGTGTGTACATGCTTGCGTGTGCTGTAATAAATGGTTTCGTTGTTCAAACAATCCACTTTTTAGCATGATATGCCCGGGCACAACAGCTGCATATAAAAGAACATATCATCATACGCTTGCTTGTTTACAAGCTTGTTCTAGTATGACTATTTACTGGGATCCGAGCAGGAGCATGAACAGCAGTGGTCAACTGCTGGCTCCCCAATTCTCTGCCATATCCATCCTGTGTCCCATGCCGTGACCCATGTTGTGAACCGTGCTGTGACTGATGTAGTTCTGCAACTGCTGCCTTCCCTTCCATGCCTGCCTCTGCCCTCTTCCTTGCCTCCACCTTTGCTGCCTTTCGCAGCCTCTTCTTTGTGGCCTGCTCCTCCTGCCACCTGGCCCCAGCAGAACAAGGAACGGAGCAACAGAGCAAAGGAGGAATGGAGAATGAGGTAAGGGCATAGGGGATGGTAGCAGCATGTGCTGGTGGTTCCTGGCTGGGATTGCATCAAGGCATCAGCAACAAAGCAAAGGAGGAACGGAGACTGGAAGGAGTCTGGCAAGGCGCATGGAAGGAGAAAGAAAGACAGAAAGGCAAGGGAGTTACTGACATTTGCCGGATGACTTTGAAGGCCTCGATAGTGGCGTACGGCTGCCCTGTGAGTGGGTCTCGGTACCTGCATAGACAAATCACATCGGCAGAATAACGATTGGAAAGCCGGTTTGCTGGTAGGTGAATTATTGTAAAGAATGCCACTTTTCGAAAACATGCCTTCCACGTGATATTGTGGGGGGGGGAAACAACAAACAAACAAACACCAGCAGGAATGGGAGGTCACGTGAAGAAGAGCAGTGGAACCTTACTTTGCTGGTAAACCTGTGATAACACAAGTGGGCTTGGCAGGGTCTGCACGAATGGGAAGGTGGAGAGAAAAGAGGCTCGGTAGCATCAGAAAAGCTGCGCAAAATGCACACTTGAAAACCTGTGCAAAATTTTCACCACAACCTGTAGAGAAAATTCATCAAACAACAGATCCAGAACCAACTCAACGTTCGGGACAGCAGGCACAGGATCCCTAGAGGATACAATTGCAACCAGGCCCCTTATGAAAGCGAGTCTTCAGACCTCTCCAAACGAAACTAGGCTTGTCATTAATACATACAGGAAGGCGCCTTTGCGTCTATCCCTGGAGGCACAGCTGCAACCTTGGTGAACTCGAGAATGTTCTTCCCTGTGTAGGAATTTAGTAAGTCAGAAAGAGGAGGGTGGGAGGGAAAAAAGCAGGGGAGGAGTGGGATTGGACAGACTAGGAACAGCCACCACTTTGGTGCACTCGAGGGTATTTTTCCTTTTAAGGGGATTTTGCTGCAGGAAAGAGGAGGGCGAGGGGGGTGGTTGCAAGGAAGTTAGAAATAAGAATCGCAGAAGCACAACTGTATGACGATACCGGACATTGATTTCCTGGAATACGATTTGATTTGATCTCACCGTCCTTGGAGTTGAATCGGATCTGTGGCCCGCCGAAGATTGCCTTTCCACAAGAATCAGATTTACATGTAATCCTGGGATATGATTTGATTTGATCTCACCGTCCTTGGAGTGGAATCGGATCTGCGGCCCACCAAAGATTGCCTTCTCCACAACGGCCTTCCTCTTCACCTCCTCCTCCCTCGCCAGCATCACTGCAAGGGCCTCCCGGTTCAGAATCTCTGAAACAGAGGAGGGGAAAGGGGAGGGGAGGGGAGGTCAGTGGTGCAGCGATTGAAATCACACACAGGGTACGGCGTGGGTGGGGAGGGAGGCAAAACGGGCGGCCTTCCTCTTCACCTTATCCTCCTCCACGCCTGAATCACCCCCCGGCGCCTCCCACTCACAGCCTCACCCTGCTCACAGCCTCCCACTCCTCAAAACCGCACCCCACCTGTCTGGGCGGCTTCTAGCAGCATCTCCTCCTGAGACCACCGTCGCTCGCCCTCCTTCCTCTTCCTCACCGCCTCGCAGTTCTCAGCCCCCCCACACCCATGGAAAAGGCTCTCAACCGCAACCAATCTGTCTGTGCGGCTTCTAGCAGCATCTCCTCCTGAGTCCACCGTCACTCGCCCTCCTTCCTCTTCCTCACCGCCTTGCAGCACTCAGCCTCCCCACACCCATGGAAAAACCTCTCAACCTGAGCGCACCTGTCCGCGCACCCATACAACCTGACCTGAGCTCAAGTTGCATGCCCACGGTGGTACTAACCACCTGTTCCCACCCCATTGAACCGCACCCCACCTGTCTGCGCGGCTTCTAGAAGCATCTCCTCCTGTGTCCACCGTCTCTCGCCCTCCTTCCTCTTCCTCACCGCCTTGGGCGCCCCATCCCTCGCAGCCCTCAGCATCTGCCGCTCCATGTCCCTCACCACCCATACAACCTGACCTGAGCTCAAGTTACACAGTGGTAACCTGACCTGCCTTTCCATGCCCACGGTGGTACTAACCACCTGTCCCCACCCCATTGAACCGCACCTCACCTGTCTGTGCGGCTTCCAGAAGCATCTCCTCTTGAGTCCACCGTCGCTCGCCCTCCTTCCTCTTCCTCACCACCTTGCAGCACTCAGCCGCCCCACACCCATGGAAAAAGCTCTGAACCGCAAACAACCTGTCTGTGCGGCTTCTAGAAGCATCTCCTCCTGTGTCCACCGTCTCTCGCCCTCCTTCCTCTTCCTCACCGCCTTGGGCGCCCCCTCCCTCGCAGCTCTCAGCATTTGCCGCTCCATGTCCCTCACCACCACCGCTGTCCTCCTCGATTTCCTTCTCTCCATCCCTCCTCCCTCCACCCCTCCTCCCTCCCTCCCGCCTCCCTCCCTCCCTCCTCCCGCTCCCCAGTTCTCTTCTGTCAGATCTACTGCAGCATCACCAATAAGCTCTTCTACCTCCTCTCCCTCCTCTCTATCCTCTCCCCCACCTCCCTCTCCTCCTTCCCGTTTCCCTCGCCCCACTCCCAGCAAAGCCAACTCACGTCTCTGCCTACTCTTTCCCACACCACTCTTCTTCCCATCTTTACTCTTTCCCGTCTCCCCCTCCGCCCCATCACCCGTCGTCTCCTCGCCAACCCTCTCACTCGCTTTCCCCTTCTCTGTTGGAGGTTTCTTTCCCCCCGCACCCTTCTTTGCTGCCTTGGCGGGTTTCTTTGGCTTTTTTTTGGTGCCTGGCGGAAGGAGACGGCGCTTGGTGGGTCTGATAAGGGCAGTGGGTGGGGCAGGGAGAACAGGGAGGAGAGGATGAAGGGGGTTGCCAGAGGCCCTTCTTTGCTGCCTTGGCGGGTTTCTTTGGCTTTTTTTTGGTGCCTGGCGGAAGGAGACGGCGCTTGGTGGGTCTGGTGGGGTAAGTGGGTGGGGCAAGTGGGTGGGACAGGTTAGGTGAGAATGGAAGAGAATAAGGTTAACATGGGAAGGGTTGCGGGCGTCTAGTGATTGAGGGACAAACAGGGCCAGAAATTGGGTACTGGTGTGTTGGGAACATGGAAAGATATACGGACGGAGAAAGGGAAGAAAACATGGAAAGGAAGACGAGAAAAGAGATGAGAGAGGATAGATGGGAGGCGGACCTTTCTTTCACCTCAGTTGCACCAGCCTCCTCCTCTTCGTTGTCTGGCGGCTCCTGCCATGCACAAAGCATGCACACACACGGAGTATTTTTGAGAATTCTCAAAAATACTCTACATCGCTGAGAATTCTCAAAAATACTCCTGCCATGCACAAAGCATGCACACACACGGAGGTTCAAGCAGAACAGGAGGTTTGGAAAGCGAGGCGTGATTAGCAATGAGTGATCGTTCCGTCATCCTATCATTCCCATCAACTTCACCCCCCCACCCATCCACACCATGCCCCCCCACCCACACATGCCCATCATCCCACACATGCCCATCATCATCATCGCATCATGCTCACATCATCATCAAAGTCGCTGTCGAAAACGTCCTCCATCTCGCCCTCCATCGCATACTCCACATCCTCTGCCTCCTGCCATGCACATGTCATGTTTCATGCCCATGTCATGCATATGTGATGATCATATCATGCCCATTGCATGTCACGCACATGGCATGTCACGCCGTGCCCACGCACATGCAGTGCTATGCCATGTCATCCAATGCCAACAATTGCCACGTCATGTTGAGGTTGTGGAAGAGCAAATTTCGAAGCAGAAGGTGAAGGAAGATTGGGTGGATGAGAGAGGGAATGAAGCAACTAAGGTTTGTGTAGAACACATCACGTAAAGTGAACACGTCCATCCTACCACCCTTACCGAACGCGTAATAAGTGGTTGGAATCCATTTAACCAGGCTCACTCATTAATCTCATAATTGGTAGCTAAAATCCATGTCAGCAGACATGCCATTCACCCATTCTTTTATGAAAGATTTGAGGTTTAAATCCACGTCCGCACACCAGCTTACCTCCTGAAAGGCCTTTAAATTCCACAACTCCTCATCCGCGACTAAATCCTCACCCAACAGCTCCGACTTTCGATTGGAGAAAGTTGGAGCAGGTAGGAGCAGAGCAGGTACGAGGGCGTCAAAAGTCAGACCCAGGTCAGCACACCAGCTTACCTCCTGAAAGGCCTTCTGATTCCAAAACTCCTCATCCGCGTCTAAATCCTCCCCCACCACCTCCGACACGCTGATTGGAGCACATGGGAAAACCGCAAAAAAGTTCCGGGTATAAAATAAATAAATGATTGTTCTTCATATAAAAGAACGAAAGCAAAACCTCAGACATTATGACATGATGATGACTGTAGCAGGAGTCAAGGAATGAAGGAAAGGGGGTAGAAGGAAGGGAAAGGAAAAGAAAAAGGAACCACTTGAGAGGGGGATCACGGGGTCAGGACACAGATTTCTCCTCTGCGCCTGGTTATTCTCCTAGCCTCTTCCCCCTGACGGCTTACCGTTTTCCGCGGGTGGACCGCGGGGGAAGGCGGACCCGCACCAGCTCAGTATTGGCCGACCCAACACAAAGCTAGTTGCGATTTAGTCCCCTCAAAACCCACCCCACGTGTTGCTAACACCTTCCCCACGACGGCTCACCGTTTTCCGCGGGTAGACCGCGCGGGAAGGCGGATCCGCTCGGGCTCCGCCATGGGCGCCACCCGCGCAGATAAGTCACGTTATCAAACCTAGTGCGCGTAGAGGTCACACGGAAACAACCCCTCAGCTAAAGCGCACTGGAAGCACTTGTTCGTGCAAGCAGGAATTACGCCTTCTACCACCGCGAAAGCGACGCGCGCCCGGACCCAGTGAGCCCCGCACAGCTGATTTGTTACTTCCCCGTTACAAAGAAGTCTTCAGGGATTGCTGTGAGGGCGCTCATTTTTCTTGCAATATAGGTTCGCTAATTCCTTCAACCACGATGTCTAAGCAATAACTTGAAAGGCTAGGAACAAATTGTGGCTGTACTCGTTAGAGTTAGTGATGTTGTACTCGTTATTGAACAAACAATGACGACCACCTGTCCTGCTTCGTTGGCTACGACAGCCAGTTATAAGCGCCATAGTCGATTTTCAGTGCGGCGCGAGAACGACCCATGTCACCCAAACGACTTCGCGACAATCTGCTATGGTTACTAGGTTCGTAAATGTCGGCGCAGTGGCGTCTCAAGCCAGATACTTTCTTCACAGGTATGGCAGCCAATACGATCGCTTGTTGACATCATGACAAGTGTGTTGTGTGGTCCCGTCCAGACCATACCAGGCCAGGATCCCAGGTGTGAACTTTCGCTTCGTTATCGAGTCAGGCAGGGCATCCATAATTACAGGGGTAAATCTGCCCGTTGATTGGCTTGATGCAGGTCAACCAATTAGGCGTGTTTTCTTGCCCTGCCGAACCTGAAACAGCCACAGAACAAGCCTTGTCATCGGAGGTTGCAACAGCGACACGACATTTCCGAGGTTGATTCCCCGTATCGATTTCACCCGAACCAACCCAGATTTCTGCTACGCTGAACCAAACCAACCATGCCTGTGTGGTCCACTTCTCTGCCCTGCCCTGCTCTTCTGCGCTGTCCTCTGCTCGGCTTGGCACTGTGATCATGGGGGCACTTCCCGTCGATGCTTCAACCAGACTCTCTCCAAACCGCATTTTGGTGGTATTTTCGAGGGTTTCTTTTCGGGCCAACATCATAGACATGCAAATCAGTCTGGTAACCCTATTCGATGGTATGCAAAACCGTCGATACCCCAGTTCTGCTGCGCAAAATTGTCTGGTAGCGCCACTCAAAACACTGTAACAGCTGACGCAGCACAGAAAAGGAAGAAAATATGTGATAGAATCAGTTGCGTTTTCGATTTCTTACCTTCGTGGTTCTTCCCGCGTCTTGTTCGGCGCCTAAAAAATATTCCAGCCGGCTACTATTTTCCGCTAAATGTGACGAAAAATCCACTGGAATGAAAGGCTACGGGGTCCATTTCGATAACATTGCTACCGGGAATTGTAGGGGCAGGGCAGAAAAACAATAAAACCCCTAGCGACCTGGGAGGGATCAACCCTAAACACGGGAAAGGACATTGTTTTTAGGGTTGATGCCTCCCTGACGCATCCCTTTCCGATCGGGTTTTTTTTTCTTGGCCCGAAGAAATCACGTCTTAGCGCGAAGGCAAGCGCGGTAAAGATCAAATTTGAATTAAAAACGAACGCGCTATCAGGGCAGCATGTCAATAACTTGCAAACAGAGGTAAGACGGTTTTGCATACCATTGGATAGGGTTACCACACTAATTTGCATGTCTATGATGTTGGCCCATTTCTTTTCTCTCTGCATTCTTGTTCTTCTCCCCTTCCAGCCGAACGAACCCCCTTTCTGCGGCGGGGAGAAGCAACTAGCAGGGATCCGTAGTGTCTTGGCGGACCGAGGTTTGAGCGGATCGCACTGCCGACCAGTAGCATTATTCGCCCAAACAGAACTCAGATCAGCACGATCAAATCCGTACGGTTGGTTTTGATCCGTCAACGCATCACCACAGCTCCGTCCAATTCACTCATTCTGCTAGTACCCTGCAGCCTTTCCCAATACTATCGTGGATTACAAGGTAGTAGACTTAAGCATGGGTCGCGGAGGTCAGGGAGTCGCATCTGTGAGTCGTCGCGCTGTCAGCGAGGCACCGGCTGCTGATGCGAAGGGCAGCAGCAGCAACAACAACAAGAACAGCAACAAGATCGCTCGAGCCCCATCTGTGAGTGTAGTTCTGGAATCTGTCCCATGTTGTCAGCCAGTCCAGATCCTTGCAGAACGTCAGGGATAGTCATGGAACGAAGTCCCTTTCCGCTTGATGCCGTTTGACTTTCTGATAGCAATCGGACGTTCCGGCTAGCTCTTCCAGAACAATCGACACCCCACTGATCAGCTTCCATCTCCCTTCTCGCCTCATCCACACTTATTTCCATCTGTCTCCCTCCTCCCATTCCGCCTCCAGGCAAAGCCCCCCTTCACCCTGGGCGACCTGCGCCGAGCCATCCCCCCCCACTGCTTCCAGCGCTCCACCCTCCGCTCCTTCTCCTACCTCCTCATCGATCTCGCCTTCGCCGCCTTATTCCTCTACGCCACCACGCGCTTCGACGACATCCACCAACTCGTAGATCCGGCCGTTGAATCGCGCCTTCCAGCGCATCTCCAGCCGTACGTTCGGCCGGCGGTGTCGGTGATCCTGTGGGCGCTGTACACGTGGCTGCAGGGGTGCGTGTGCACGGGCCTGTGGGTGATCGCGCACGAGTGCGGCCATGGCGCGTTTTCGGATTATGCCTTCGTGAATGACACGGTCGGCATGATCGTTCACTCGTGGCTGCTCGTCCCTTACTTCTCCTGGTGAGTCGAGAAAAGGTGGTATAGGCGCCTCAGAAGCCGTTCTCGGATTATGCCTTCGTGAACGACACGGTCGGCATGGTGGTGCACTCCTGGCTGCTCGTGCCTTACGAACTATCTGGTGACTTCTGAGAGAATTAGGCGGGGAGCATGCCTAATATGAACGAATGAAAGCCAACGAAACCAACCAGAATCGCTCCAATGAATTCCTCCGCGACTGTTCCGTTTGTTTCCTCTTTTCTCCTGACCCTTTCCCCAAGTGTTCTTTAAGTCGCGCATATTGCACTTCGTTACAACGGCGCTCGACACATCTCCAACCAACCCCTTTCCAGCCCCATCTCTTGTCCCATCAATTGAACGCTCCTCTTATTTTCCTCACACGTCAGCTCACCAGTTAACTCCCACTACCACCCTTTTCTGAAACAGAAGATGCTACTAGTGAACAGCACCCGCTTTCTCCCCTCATTCAGTCTAAATGCCCACCGTCCTCTCCCCGCTCTCCCTGTCGTTCTCCAGAAAGTGCAGCCACCGCCGCCACCATATAAACTAAACGCCCACCCTCTTTCTCCCCCCCCTCCACGTCCCCTCGTCCCACCTTCCCCTCACCCTCCTCCCCTCCGCCTCCCGTAATCTCGATTGAGCAGGAAGTACAGCCACCGTCGCCACCACAGCAACACGGGCAGCCTGGAGAATGACGAGGTACGTGAGTGCATGCACGAGTAGGGTGGTTGAAAGGGGGCGTGATGGCATGCACACAAGTACGGTGGATTAGCTGTGGTGTGATTGAGCAGGAAGTACAGCCACCGTCGCCACCACAGCAACACAGGCAGCCTGGAAAACGACAAGGTACGCGATTGAATGAACAAGCAGGGTTGTGATTGCTCTCCCGCGCCGTCACTTCAATCAGTTTATTCAGAATATAGGGCCTTCGGGGGTGGTGCTTGGCCCAATCAGGAACTACAAAAATATTTGTGGTGGAAATGCGTTTTGAGTATGCCAACCACAAGAGTAACCCATGATAAATTGCACCATGCGAGATTTACGTTTTGAGTGTGCCAACCAGGTGACTTCTCGAGTTGATGGCTTGTTCTCTCCCTTCTTGCCCGCTCCCTCTCCCCGCGCCAGGTGTTTGTGCCCAAGCGCAGGGAGGAGCTAACGCCAGTCTCAGAGTACCTGCAGCACCCCTTTGGGCGAATCCTCTCCATCCTCGTCACATCTGATATGACCTTCTATCTCCCCCGTACTCTCGCCTCCTGCAGGTGTTCGTACCCAAGCGCAGGGAGGAGCTGACCCCCGTCTCAGAGTACCTGCAGCACCCCTTTGGGCGAGTCCTCTCCATCCTCGTCACGCTCACCCTCGGCTGGCCGCTCTACCTCGCCTTCAACGTGTCGGGCCACCAGTACAAGGGCACCCACGCCAACCACTTCAGCCCCTACTCGGGGATCTTCTGCGATCGAGAGCGGTTCTGGGTGGTTGTCAGCGATCTGGGGCTGCTGGGGGTGCTCGGGTGTCTGTACTCCCTCGGCTCTGCCTATGGCCTCGCATGGGTGCTCAAGGTACGGCTGGCTGTAGCACGGCTGTAGCACAGCTGTAGCATGATTTAGCATGGCACTAGCAAATCATGGAATCTACAGGGAGTCCTAGGGTGTCTGTACTCCTTGGGCTCTGCCTATGGCCTCGCGTGGGTGCTCAAGGTTCAGCTGTAGCATGGTTGTAGCATGGTTGTAGCATGGTTGTAGCATGGTTGTAGCATGGTTGTAGCATGGTTGTAGCATGGTTGTAGCATGGTTGTAGCATGGTTGTAGCATGGTTGTAGCATGGTTGTAGCATGGTTGTAGCATGGTTGTAGCATGGTTGTAGCATGGTTGTAGCATGGTTGTAGCATGGTTGTAGCATGGTTGTAGCATGGTTGTAGCATGGTTGTAGCATGGTTGTAGCATGGTTGTAGCATGGTTGTAGCATGGTTGTAGCATGGTTGTAGCATGGTTGTAGCATGGTTGTAGCATGGTTGTAGCATGGTTGTAGCATGGTTGTAGCATGGTTGTAGCATGGTTGTAGCATGGTTGTAGCAGAGTCTAGCATGGCAGTAAGTGTATGCGTGTCATCTCCGCATAGTGAACATGTTTTGGTGCCCATCACGCTGCTGCAGCACACGCACCCCGCCTTATAATCTCTGCCTCTGCCTCACCCGCACCCCTTTCATTCACCCCCACTTGCTTCCCAGGTGTATGTCTGTCCGCTGCTGATTGTCAACATGTTCCTCGTGCTGATCACGCTGCTGCAGCACACGCACCCCGCCCTGCCACACTTTGACTCATCCGAGTGGGAGTGGCTGCGAGGGGCGCTCGCCACTGTCGACCGCGACTACGGCTACCTCAACATCGGTGAGTATCACATCACGGTGCAATCCTGTGCAGTGGGGTTCTGTGTTGTTCAGTATAGCGTGGTATGGTGCAGTGTGGCGCAGTACGGTGCAAAAGTGTACTGCAACACACACATCCCGGCCTGCCGCACTTTGACATGGCTGAGAGGGGCGCTCGCCACTCTACTGCGACTACGGCTGCCTCAACATCTGCGAGCTCACAGTGCAGTGCGATGGAGTGTCGTTTGGTACGGCGCAGGCAGACTATGGTCACCTCAGTATAGAGTGGCCAACTTTGTTGTGGCGAACTGAAAAGCACATGGCCCGTTCGCTTCTCCCCCTACGGTCCCACCCACCCACCCACCCACCCACCCCAACAGTGGTCCGTCACATCACAGACACGCATGTGGCACATCACTTCTCCACTATGCCACTTCTCCACTATGCCACTTCTTGACTATCTGAAAAAAACCCTTGCCTGCCATTCCCCTCGCCCTTCCCGCCCCACTCTTCAACCCCCTACCACCACAACCCCACCTCTCCATCACCAGTGCACCATCACATCGCGGACACCCACGTGGCGCATCACATATTCTCCACCATGCCGCACTACCATGCGGAGGAGGCCACACGAGCCATCAAGCCTTTCCTTTCCTCTATGCCAGTCAACTCATGCCTTGCCTCCTCCCCACCCTCGCCCTGCATCCTTCCCCTCCCCTTCTCCCTCCCGACTCCTCCCCTCTCCCCTCCCCATTTCCCCCTCCCCCACCCCCCACCACAGTACACCATCACATTGCGGACACCCATGTGGCGCATCACATATTCTCCACCATGCCGCACTACCACGCGGAGGAGGCCACCCGAGCCATCAAGCCAATCCTAAAGGACTACTACCAGTTCGACGGCACTCCTATCGTGAAAGCGCTCTGGCGGGAGGTGTCACAGTGCGTCTGTGTAAGTACCAGTCCTTCTGACAGTTCTAGTTGTACCTATGGTTGAGGTGAGGCGCCTCACAAAGAGGAGGCCACACGAGCCATCAAGCCGATCCTCAAGGACTTCTTCACTTGATGCAGATGGGCCGAAGGGAGTGTATTCGTATTCGAACAAGCTCAAATATACTAGCAACATTTCTTTTCCCCTCATGTCTGTCCTTCCACTCCACCCCATCTGTCCCCATCTTTTACCCCTTTTCTCTTGCAAGTTGCTCCTGATGCAGATGGGCCCAAGGGCGTGTACTGGTATTCAAACAAGGTCAAGTAACTCAGCAGCGGTGCTTTCTCCCTCATGATCCTCCTCTTACTCCACCATCCTTCCCCATCTCTCCCCATCCGTCCCCTCCTTTCCCCTCACTCTCCTGCAGGTTGCTCCCAATGCAGATGGGCCCAAGGGCGTGCACTGGTATTCAAACAAGGTTCTAAATAGATTGGCATCGTTGCTTTCTCCCCCATCCATCGCCTTCCTTGCTGCAGGTTTCTCCTGATGCAGATGGGCCCAAGGGCGTGTACTGGTATTCAAACAAGGTCAAGTAACTCAGCAGCAAGACAGCCTACAAAGAGTAAACATCAAAGCACAAAATTATGTCAACATGCCCAGGGTTCACTATTGCATTCAGCAAGCAGCTGATGCACAGCAGGACATAGTATTTCTGTCAAGTGGGTACCACTACATGTTTTTTTAAGACAACCCCGATCTTGCTACTTGTGTTGTGTGTGCGACTTGTTCATTATATATTGAATTGCAGACACAACAAAACAAATCTGTGAAGTCCCTCCCCTCAGCTCCCTTCTCTATGCTGCATTACTTATTCTCATCCCCAGTGTTGCGTTGGGTTGACAAACTTACTGTAGAAATCTGTCACGAAGCAACCTCACCCATGGGATACATTTGTTGCTCAATTGACTACCAGTGATTGACTTACCGTATGAAGTAGTTCTCTGATGTGAGTGTATCACTAGGAGTCAGCAGGCATCTGCGCATGCAAACTACAGCCGGGAAAACGCAAGCGCGATTGCAAACGGCAGTTCGAGGAATTAGACAATGTCTAGGTTGGTTGAACAATAACACACATGTTTTACTCTACAGTAACTCTCAACAGAGCGCTTTGAGAATAAAAATGGGCCTTTAGCGGACTAGGATACAATCCTCCCCAAAAAAGGCCACGTATGTGTAGCACGGAAAGCAATACATAAGAATAGATAAGGGTACGTAGTCTAAGGTTTCATTTTGATGCCTTTTTATTCCCTATCTCAAACCCTTGTCTTCTTGTGTTGCGTTCCTCTTTGTAACATACATGCTAATCCATCTCTCCCTTCTTCTGATTACCCCCTTCTTGCGTTGCTTGCTCCCCACATACACCCTCCCCTTCTTGCTTGCGTTGCGTTGCGTTGTCTCATCATACCTTCTAGAATCTCTGCTATATCTTTCCTATCCACTCCAATTTGATTGCTGTTCTTCTATTCACCTCCGCCTTGGAAACATCAGCTGACCAATCTCGCAGGTGTGCCTTCCACATCAGCACCTTCCACATCAGCACCCTCCACATCAGCACCCTCCACATCAGCACCTTCCACGCCAGCGCTTTCCACGTCAGCAATATGATCCACACAATCTGCTTCGGCCACAACAACAGCAACCCGATCTGCCACGTCAGCTGCCAGCTTTGGCGCGGCTTTTCCGGAAGCGCTAGCATCATTCTGACCTTCTCTGATCTCTCCTTCCATCATTGTGACTCCTTCAACGGCTGAGCCAACCTTGAGAGTATCAAGACCAACCTCAATCTTTTCATGATCGGCCTTTTCGTCGGCTGTGCTAATCCCGGGAGTGGTCTCAACATCATTCCCGATTGTTTCATCGCTTGCATCTACCTGCTTGCTCCATTCCCCATCTCTGTCATCTTGCTTTGATCGTTCCGTACTCTTCCCTCCCTCATTCTCCCCAATCTCACTCTTCTCTTCCTCACTCTTCCTCACCTCACTCCCTCGCTCCTCACTCCCTCGCTCCTCACTCCCTCGCTCCTCACTCCTGTGTGCCTCAGTCTTGTCCTCGTTACTCTCCCCCTCCAGCTCCATGGTACCGACACTGCTCATGTCTAGAGTGCTCTCCTCCTTCTCACTGACTTCCACCTCACTCCCTCCCACCTCACTCGCTCGCGCTTTGCTCTCATCCTCACCGCTCTCTCCCTCCAGCTCCATGGTACCGACACTGCTCATGTCTAGTGTGCTCTCCTCCTCCTCATTGCCTCGCACCTCATTCCTTCCCACCTCACTCGCTTGCGCTTTACTCTCTCGTGTCTTGCTCTCGTCCTCACCACTCTCTCCCTCCAGCTCCAGGGTACCAACACTGCTCATGTCTAGTGTGCTCTCATCCCCATCACTCCCACTCTCGTTCCCGCTTCCACTCTCACACCCACTCCCACTCTCGCTCCCACTCTCACTCCCACTCTCACTCTTACCCACACTCCCACTCCCACCCTCACTCCCACTCCCACTCTCACTATCCACATCACTCACCCAATTCTCTCCTCCTCCTTCCCCACTCCCACTCTCCTCTTCACTCCCCAAGCTGTCACCAGAATCAAAACCATCTTCCCCTTCATCCTCCTCATCAACCCCACTCCACTCATCCTCTTCCCTCCCATCCTTCTTCTCACTCCGTCCCTCCTCGTCCTTTTGAGGCGCGTCAGAAACAAACCCTCTGTTTTGCTTTTCCTCCCCTTCATCCTCCTCATCAACCCCACTCCACTCATCCTCTTCCCTCCGCTCCTTTTTCTCACTCTGCCCCTCCTCGTTCATTTGAGGCACCTCAGAAGCAGGCTCTTTCTTTTGCTCTTCCCTCCCCTCCTCTTTCTCACTCGGTCCCTCGTCGCTCTGCTGAGGGACCTCCGGAACAGGCTTTTTGATTTGCTCTTCTGCCCGATCCTCCTCCCCTTCATCATCAACCCCACTCCACTCATCCCCTCCCCCCCCGTCCTTCTTCTCACTCCGTCCCTCCTCGCTCTGCTGAAGCACCTCAGAAGCAGGCCCTAGGCTTTGCTCTTCCATCTGATCCTCCTCACCTTCATCCTCCTCATCAACCCCACTCCACTCGTCCTCCTCCCTCCGCTCCTTTTTCTCACTCTTTCCCTCCTCGCTCTTTTGAGGCACCTCTTGCTTTTCCTCTTCCCTCCGCTCCTTTTTCTCACTCTTTCCCTCCTCTTCCTTTTGAGGCACCTCAGAAGCAGGCTCTAGGCTTTGCTCTTCCATCTGATCCTCCTCCTCTGCATCCTCCTCATCAGCCCCACTCCATTCATCCTCTTCCCTCCGCTCCTCCTTCTCACTCTGTCCCTCCTCCTTCTTTCGAGGCACCTCGGGAACAGGCTCTTCGTTTTGCTCTTCTGCCCGATCCTCCTCCCCATCATCATCAGCCCCACTCCACTCATCCTCTTCCCTCCCATCCTTCTTCACACCTTTTTCCTCCTCGCTCTTTTGAGGCACCTCTTGGTCTTCCTCTTCCCTCCGAATCTCCTTACACTGCCCGTCGTTCTGTTGAGGCACCTCAGGAACAGACTCTTCCTTGTGCTTTTCCTGCCGATCCTCCTCCTCTGCCTCCTCCTCAACAACCCCACTCCACTCACCCTCTCCAATCCCCTCGTTTTTCCCACTCTGCCCGTCGTCGTTCTGTTGAGGCACCTCAGGAACAGACTCTTCCTTGTGCTTTTCCTGCCGATCCTCCTCCTTTGCCTCCTCCTCAACAACCCCACTCCACTCACCCTCTCCAATCCCCTCGTTTTTCCCACTCTGCCCGTCGTCGTTCTGTTGAGGCACCTCAGCAACAGACTCTTCCTTGTGTTTTTTCGGCCAATCCTCCTCCTTTGCCTCCTCCTCTGCCTCCTCCTCTGCATCCTTCCCTTCATCCTCCCCATCAACCCCACTCCACTCGTCCTCTTCCCTCCTCTCCTCCATCTCGCTCCGTTCCTCATACTTCTGAGCCACCTCAACAACAAACCTCTCCTTCTGATCTCTCTCCCCTTCCTCTTTCTCATTCCACCCCCCTTTCTCTCCCTCATACCTTGGTCCGCTCCCATCCTCATCACCAGCATCATCGTTATCACTATTAACATCAACATCACTCCACAATTCCTCATCAGCATCAGCATCAACATCAGTATAATCAGCATCAGCATCAACAGCACCACGTTTAGCGACCCCCTTCTTCCCTCTTCCCCCCTCCACCTTGTCATTCTCCTCTGGGTCATCCTCTCTCTCCGCCTCTACCTTCTCAATTTCCTCCTCTTTCCTCCCATCCTCGCCATCCCTATCCATGGCTTCCCCCTTCCCCCCTCTCCCTTCTTCCACCTTGTCAATCTCCTCTGCACCATCCTCTCTCTCCGCCACTACCTTCTCAACTTCCTTCTCTTTCCTCCCCTCCTCCTCTTTCCTACCCTCCTCCTCTTTCCTCCCCTCCTCCTCTTTCCTCCCCTCCTCCTCTTTCCTCCCCTCCTCCTCTTTCCTCCCCTCCTCCTCTTTCCTACCCTCCTCCTCTTTCCTCCCTTCCTCCTCTTTCTTCCCTTCCTCCTCCTTCCTCCCTTCCTCCTCATTCTCCTTCTTCCCTGCCTCCTCCTTATCAGCATCCTCGCTAATAGCATCTCCATTATCGTCATCAGCACTCCACGACGCTTCATCATCCTCCTCCTCTCCCTCCTCCATATCACTCCACCCTTCCTCTCCCTCACTCGAGCTCTCACTTTCCCTCGCCTCCCCTTTCATCGAACCTCGTTTCACCAACACCTTTTGCACGCCTCGTCCCTCTAAACCAGACTCACTCTCTTCCTTCACCAAAACCCCAGAAAACCTCTCTGGTTTCTCCACTCCTCCCTTCTCCTCCGCTCCTCCTTTCTTCTCCTCCACTCCTCCTTTCCTATCCTTGCCTTTTCCAGCCACAACACCCAATCCGCCCCTCCCTTCTAGCTCCTCAGTCCGCTCCTCCCCTCCAGAAACAACCCCACCTTTCTCCCGCTCCTCCCTCCTCCTCCTCTCCTCACTAGCCGCTTCCATCTTCCTTCTCACCTCCTCCACCCTCCTCCTCCTCTCCTCCTCTCTCTCCCTCACTCTCGCCCTCAACGCTCTCTCCTCCTCCTCCCCTTCCTCCTCAAGCTCTTGAGTCCATTCCATGACCACCCTCCTCTCTTCCTCTCCTCTCCTCTGCCCCGCCCCTGTCAAGGTCTCCACCTTTCCAACCAGCCAGTCCGAAACCCCTGTTTCCGTCTCAACAAAACTCCCAACCGTCACGATCCCGTGATGACGCTTGCCTTTTGGGGAAACCAACGGAGATCTACCTGGAAAAGCACCTGAAAAAGCACCTGGCAAAACAGCACTGGCGGCACCTGGTGCACCAGCATGAGACCCAGCGCCGACACCTGTAGCAGCTGCAAGGGTTGTAGCAGCAGCTCTTGCCACAGCTGCTACAACCCCACGCGGACTAAGCAACGGGGAGTGTGAAGGTCCCGCTGTGTCACCTGCTGTGACTGGATCACTAGCAGCAGCAGCAGAGTCAGCTGCAGCAGCACCAGCGAAGGCAGCACCTGGTGTGGTTGCTTCTGCAACCGCAGCTAAAGCAGCAGGTGTAGCAGCGGTTGCAGCAGCAGTTGTAGCAGGGGTGGCACCGGCTGTAGCAGCGGCTGTAGCAGCGGCTGTAGCAGCGGCTGTAGCAGCAGTTGTAGCAGCAGGTACAGCAGGAGAAGAAGAGCCGAAGGTGAGGTGCGTGAGCGAATCAAAGATCTGAATGCTCGCCCGTCGAACGTGACTCACAGACGCTGACTTGGGCAGGAAACTTGCAAAGAGACCCGGTGCGGCAGCGGATGAAGAGCTTTCCTGCTTTTGCTGCTGCTGCTGCGGCTGCTGCTGCTGCTGCTGCTGCTGCTGCTGCTGCTGCTGCTGCTGCTGCTGCTGCGGTCTCCTCTCATGCTTCACACGCACATTCCCATCACCACTTTCCTCGTCCTCCTCCTTTCCCTCCTCCCCCTCCTCCAGAATCCAAACATCTGGCCCACCTCTCTTCTCCTCCGCTCCTCCTCCTTTATCACCCAAACCTCTTCTATCTCGGTACGACCCCCCCCACGGTTGCTCCCTTCCTATCTCCCTCCCTGCCTCTTGAACCCCTGCCCTGCTGTTGCCCCATGGTTGCTCCCTGCTTCCGTCCCTATCACCCAACCCCACTCCACCCAACCCCTCTCCTCTCCCTCCCACCTCCCATCCCCCTACAGGACGAACCCTGCTGCCCGCTGCGGCTGTAGCAGGCCTACGTGGCAGTGCTACAGTACCCGCTCCTGCCGCCCCTGCTGCTACAGACTCACTACCTGCTGCACTGCCTGTTGCCCCGGCTGCAGCACTTTTTGCCCAGAAAGAGACAATGTCTCGAACAGTACCCTGTGCTGCTACAGCTGCTTCGGAGAGCAATGACTCCATCACACTCCCTTGCTGAGCCTGCCCCTTTCTCCCAAAACCACTGGACTCACTCGTACTGACCTCATTCCCACTAGACTCATTCGCAACCCGAGCGGTTCGGCCCGGTACAGAAGGGTCCTGGCGCAAAACAGCTGGGTCACTCCCTCCTGGTGTTCTGTCAGTTTCTGTGCTTCGCTCCTCGTGCCTACCACCCCTCCCTCCACCTCCTCCTCCCCTTCCTCGTCCTCCCCGCCCCCCCACTCCACCTCTCTCACCCCCAGGTCTGTACAGCAGCGCACTCGCCCTCCCTCTCCCACTACCAACCCCGCCCCCAATCGCTCTTCTAGCCGGCTCATCCCCAACTGCTCGTCTAGCGGGCTCAAATGTCGACCTGGATTTAGGAAAAGCGGTCATGGGCCGATCAGGCAACGGGTGAGCATCCAGCCTATGGGGCGCCTCAAAAGCAGCCGCTCCTCTGGTAGTCATTTCAGGTAGTTCAAGAAAGGCTTCGGAAGCAATCGTTCTTCTAGCCGGCTCAAAAGTCGACCTGCTGCCAGGCACGGCGGTCATGGGGCGAGCAGGCAACGGGTGAGCAGCTTCCAGCCTTGAAGCTGGCTGCTGCTGGGATTCCTCCTCAACGCTTCGATTCCTCCCTTTATCCAGCCTGGCAGGGGTTTCTCTATCCAGCCTCGTAGCCCCATCTCCCTCTCGACTCCCCCACGCAAGCGACCGTGGCTGGTGTTCGCGGCCCCTCCCTGTATCCAGCCTCGCAGCTGGCGGGTCATGGCTCCCCCAGGGGTGAGCGTGAGCATCCAGCCTGGTCGCTGCTGGCTGGTGGCTGTACTCGTCCGGGCTTTGGCTCCTCCGGCCACTTTGGCCTCTCCCTGTATCCAGCCTCGCAGCAGCTGCTGGGTCATGGCTCCCCCAGGGGTGAGCGTGAGCATCCAGCCTGCTAGCTGCTCGATGCTGGTATTCGTCAGGGCTTTGACCCCTTCCTGTATCCACCGTGGCAGCTGGGTCATGGTGACTCCCCCAGGGATGATGAGCATCCATCCTGATACCTGTCTGGTGCCTACTCCCACTCCCACCACTAGGCACGCCTCCAATCGCTCTTCTAGCCGGCTCAAAACTCGGCCTATTTCTAGGGAGGGCGGTCATGGGGCGAGCAGGCAAGGGGTGAGCGTCCTGCCTCGTAGCAGCTTGCTGAGAATACTCTTCCTCCAGGCTTTGGTTTCTCCCTCTATCCAGCTGGGTAGCCCCATCTGAATCGCGACTCCTCCTGGCAAGTGGCCGTGAGTGGTGTGTGTCAGGGCCATGGCTCCTCCCTGCTTCCAACCTTGTAGCAGCTGGGTGGTAATCTCCCTCTTCCTCCAAACTTCGATTCCTCCCTCTATCCAGCCAGGCAGGGGTTTCCCTATCTAGCCTGGTAGCCGGCTCACGGCTGCCCCAGCCATCATGTCTCAGCTGGTGCAACAAATCGTCTTGCACCCTGCTCCTCTGCTCCCTCTCCTCCTGTCTGCTCCCAGGATGAGAGAAGCGCTGTTCCCCTTCCCCTTGCCTCATTCCAGGTGCAAGCACGCTAGGCGAATCCGATGTTAGGTCAAAGGCATGGGCTTTCTGTTGAGAGCTCTCATAAACGGCACTGGGTGAAGCAGAATCAGTGAAGGAACGAGTGAGGGAGTCTATATGGTGGTGTACCACCACATCTCCCACATCTCCTGCTCTTTGAGACGCTTCATAAGTCAGCCCCAGGGGTTTGGGTTTAGGGGAAGCAGCGGTTGTGAGGGAGCGAGTGAGAGAGTCTACGTGGTGGTGTACCACCACATCCCCTGCTACCACCTCCCGCACAAACAAAACCTCCTCCTCCATCTCCCGCTCTTCCCCTCTCTCCTTCCCACGCTCCTCCTCCTCCTCTGCTGCCCTGCCTTCCTGCTCAGCCCTCCCTCCTTCCCTTCGTCTCACCGGCCGTGCAACGGGAGTGTTACCGCCGCCGCTAGTGGTAACCGCATGTGCGACAGGCGTGTTACCGCCAGTCGAAGCATCCGCGGTTACAGGGGTGGTAACCGGCGACACTCGACCGTCAGCAAACCGGTTTGGACTTCCCAAGGCTTGGGCGATGGGAGTGTTACCAGCAGTGGAAGCAGCAGGTGTGTTACCAGTTGTAGAGAAAGCAGCAGCAGCACCAGGAGTAGCAGCAGCAGAAGCAGCACCAGCAGAAGCAGCAGAGGTAGCAGCAGCAGCTAGCCTAGCCGAAGCCATTCCGAGGAGTCCAGATACATTGAACCCACTAGCAAACGCTGTGGTAACCGCATGTGCAACCGGAGTGTTACCAGTAGTCGAAATCTCAGCCATTGACGGTGTCCTGTAGATGGTCAGAGCGCTCGACCGCTCTCCACCCATTCCTCCTGACACACCACCCATCTGAACCGCTCCCCCATGGGCCATTCCTGTCATATCCCCCACAGCCCGAGCCACAGGCGTGGTACCATCAGTGGACATTCCCGAGGCTGCGGACGAGGTTCGGGCGATGGTAACCGCATGCGCAACGGGCGTGTTACCAGCAGTGGAGGCCTCAGTAGTAGCCACCGAAGCTGTCCTGTAGATACTGAGTGCGGCGTTGTGTGCCCCGACTGAGTGGACAACAGAAGGAGCTTCAGCAGCAGACACTGATCTACTCATGCTAGGAGTACTGGCACCAGACGGACCAGAGGGACCAGCAGCAACAGAGGGACTAGCAAAAGAGGGACCAGCGACAGAGGGAGAGCGAGCGATAGCCAAAGCAGCAGACTGAATACTCTGACTGATGTTCCACATGCCGTTGCCACTGCTGACCCCCCACCCTCCTCCGCTGCCTTTTTCTCCTCCTCTTACCCCTTCACCCCCACTCCCACCCTTGACAAGCCGTCTGGGAGCAGGAGGGACGAGCCCAGCCGCATTCCTTCGCATGGCTGCCCGAGCCTTCGCTTCAACTGCCCGGACCAAAAGTTCTAGATCCTCTTTCACTGCAGCTGCAGCCGTTGCTGCAGCGTTCCCTTCCTTAGCCACCCCTCTAAACTTCCTCCTCACCCTGCCGACACCATTCACATGCAACACGCTATGCACTTCCCTGAATACTGCAGACACTACCTGTTCCACTTCCCACTCTGCTTTCTCCCTCTCTGCAGCCGAAACGGCTGTAGCAGCGGCTGTAGCGGCGGCAGATGCTGCTGTTAACTCGCTTTCCCGCTTTGCCACTGCCAGCTGTAGCATCTGCAGTAAAACATGGAGAAAATCGGTCTGGTGCTTAGCTAAAAGCTGCTGCTTAGTGTAAAGAGAGTCACCCCAATTTTGGTCATTATCAGCCAACCCAACATCTACTAATTCTGCCTCCTCCTCTTCTTCTCCTTTCCCAAATTCTTCCGATTCTTCCAAGTCTTCCTCCCCGTCTGCCCCCCCTGCTGTCGTCTCTGCACCTGAATACTCCCTCCCAGAGGGTCCCTCTAAGGTCAACAGCAGCCCCAGATCAGAGCCAGCTCTGTTGAAACCACCTGAGTAAGACCCTGCTCTGTTGAAAGCACCTGAGTGCGACTCCGCTCTGTTGAAACCCCCTGTGTAGGAAACGGCTCTGTTGAAACCCCCTGAAGGCACACCTGAACCTTCCCTAGCAGCACCGGCCATCTGACTGGCATAGGAAAAGGGCTGGCCTGAATAAGCCACTGCTCGGGCTGCGTTGGGGGAAGAAGCCTCAT